GAAAAATTTCTGTCACTGTAACTGTTAGAAATTCTAATTCTAATCGCCCATAAAACAAATATTTAACGATGAACACGGTGAGTTCTAAAGCATGTTTTATCAAAAGCTAAAATAACCAACACATGTGTGGAATTTTGAAAAAAACGTTTTTATTCGTATCACTAATCACCAAAATCGCCCATTTCACATTGGATCATGCTTAAAAATTCTATATTTTCTTTATCTTATTTTGCAGTGTAAAGAAGCTACTAATAGTTGAACTTGAACCGAATGTAAAGAGACGCATAATAATATAAAAATGCTGTGTTCATCAATTAATTTACAAGATATAAATGGTTTTTTTTCTATGGATTTGAAAGTTGCAAATTTAATATGTGGAATAACCTCATAGTTATATGCATCCTTGCACTTGGTGCTTTGCGAGTAAAGATTAATTGGATAAACGTGGAAACCTCAGAACGGTAGAATAAATAGAAAAATTATATGGACACTGGAGAAATGCATTTGGAAGCTAAGAAGATGCTAGATATTACATATATTGTGTTAATTTGCCAATAGTGAAGTAAAGTTTTGAGGCATAATAAGCGACATGGATTATAGATTTACTAGTACCTCCTGAGCTCCATCTAATTATTGGTGTTGTAAATACGACTTATAATCATATGTTTAAAATATTTTAAAGTATTTCCTTAAAGTGGGCTACCTTATGTTACGTTCAGCGTAAAATTTTCCGTGGTTCTTCTGGTTTTGATGGAGGTGATTGTAGAAAATTATTAAAAACAGAAAGTACAAGTCTTTTACGTAGACTCTGTGATGATTACAGTATTTTAGAGTGTGTAGATTATGTGAAAGCTTTTGTCGATTTCAATTCTGTTGTTGAAGCTTGTTTTTTCCACAGACTTAAAAAGCAAATATGTTAATTGTATTTCAGATTTTATGAAAAGTTATATCCATCTTTCTATACCTTTCACTCCAAAAGTACACGCGGTTTTTTCCTATATAGTAGATTTTTGTACAAAATATGAAATCGGTTTAGGATATTTTTCAGAACAAGCTTTTAAAGATGTTCACCATAATATTAAGAATACTTTTTGTGAAGCTATTTTCTTGTGGCATTGTAAATTAATTACTATTAAACTGGGAATAAGCCACAATTAAAGATAAAAATACGTTTATTGACGTTTCAATTTCCACTTCGGAAATCGTTCTCAAAATACAAACAGTAAATTAAACAAATTTTGTTTTTTTGTTACATAGTGAAAAATTCTTCTAATAATTTAATTTTATCTGACTCATTTATATTGACAATTCAGACATACATTATGCATTTTAAAGTAGACGACTTTAAATGATATTGCCAATATTGTTGAGTTGCGCTCCTGGGACGACTTTACATATAAGATAGTTCATTCGATTACATGAAATCAACTTTAACTTGAGAATATCGTCAGAAAAAAATCATAGCATGTAATTCGTCTTTAAAAAGACAAACACATGACATGATGATAGTAAAATTCTCCTGTTAGTGATTCCATAGTAAATTATGAGGGAAAAACCAGGAAAAAAACCTCATAATACTATCCCGACATTGTAATTATTTGTTCGTGAATTTAGTTTACCTTCAACAAACATCAAAATTCTGATTTTATATGTTACGTTATTTAAAAAACATAAATGATGTATCCTCTATATGTTACTGACTTACTAATACTGGTATTTTCTTATTAATAACTTCCTGTTTCAATATTGGTAACCAGAATGTAGTAGGAAGTTATTAATAAGAAAATACCAGTATTAGTAAGTCAGTAACATATAGAGGATACATCATTTATGTTTTTTAAATAACGTAACATATAAAATCAGAATTTTGATGTTTGTTGAAGGTAAACTAAATTCACGAACAAATACTTACAATGTCGGGATATATTACTATTTATAACTGGGAATAAGCCACAATTAAAGATAAAAATACGTTTATTGACGTTTCAATTTCCAATTCGGAAATCGTTCTCAAAATACAAACAGTAAATTAAACAAATTTTGTTTTTTGTTACATAGTGAAAAAATTCTTCTAATAATTTAATTTTATCTGACTCATTTATATTGACAATTCAGACATACATTATGCATTTTAAAGTAGACGACTTTAAAATGATATTGTCAATATTGTTGAGTTGCGCTCCTGGGACGACTTTACTTATAAGATAGTTTATTCGATTACATGAACTCATCTTTAACTTGAGAATATCCGTCAGAAAAAAATCATACCATGTAATTCGTCTTTAAAAAGACAAACACATGACATGATGACAGTAAAATTCTCCTGTTAGTGATTCCATAGTAAATTATGAGGGAAAAACCAAGAAAAAAAACCTCATAATACTATCCCGACATTGTAAGTATTTGTTCGTGAATTTAGTTTACCTTCAACAAACATTAAAATTCTGATTTTATATGTTACGTTATTTAAAAAACAGGAATGATGTATCCGCTATATGTTACTGACTTACTAATACTGGTATTTTCTTATTAATAACTTCCTCTTTCAATATTGGTAACCAGATCCTACTACATTCTGCCGAGGAATTTGCGACACAATTTACCTCATTTAGCATAATTAGAGCCGCTTCTTTGATTTTTCTTTTTTTGCCATCCGTTTCTTTTAGGACTATATTTGAATTATTCCATTGAACCCTATGTTCATTATCCCATGCGTGTTTACATATTTGAGATCTATCAAATTCTCTATTTTTAATATAGGATTGATGTTCACTTATTCTAATATTTAATGGCCTTGATGATTCACCTAAATAAAACTGATCGCATTCACAAGGTATTTTATAAATGCAATTCTTTGTCCTTTCTTGTTCATTGTTAGGTTTGGTTTTGGACAAAATAGATCTCAACGTGTTTGTTGTTTTGAATGTTGTTGAAATGTTGAATTTATTTCCTATCCTTTTAAGTTTTTCTGATAATCCTTTTATGTACGGTATTGTTATTTTTATCATATTATTCCTTGTGTATGCTGTAGGATCTCGTTCTAAGTTGTTCTGTTCTATTCGATCGATTGTTGAAAATTCCTTATTTATAAACGATAAAGGATAATCATTTTTTAATAAAACAGATGTTAACAAATGTTTCTCCTCCATTTTGATGTTTGTTGAAGGTAAACTAAATTCACGAACAAATACTTACAATGTCGGGATAGTATTATGAGGTTTTTTTCCTGGTTTTTCCCTCATAATTTACTATGGAATCACTAACAGGGAGAATTTTACTGTCATCATGTCATGTGTTTGTCTTTTTAAAGACGAATTACATGGTATGATTTTTTTCTGACGGATATTCTCAAGTTAAAGTTGATTTCATGTAATCGAATGAACTATCTTATAAGTAAAGTCGTCCCAGGAGCGTAACTCAACAATATTGGCAATATCATTTTAAAGTCGTCTACTTTAAAATGCATAATGTATGTCTGAATTGTCAATATAAATGAGTCAGATAAAATTAAATTATTAGAAGAATTTTTTCACTATGTAACAAAAAACAAATTTGTTTAATTTACTGTTTGTATTTGAGAACGATTTCCGAAGTGGAAATTGAAACGTCAATAAACGTATTTTTATCTTTAATTGTGGCTTATTCCCAGTTATAAATAGTAATTAATTTACAATGCCACAAGAAAATAGCTTCGGAACAATGTCGGGATAGTATTATGAGGTTTTTTTCCTGGTTTTTCTCTCATAATTTACTATGGAATCACTTACAGGAGAATTTTACTGTCATCATGTCATGTGTTTGTCTTTTTAAAGACGAATTACATGCTATGATTTTTTTCTGACGGATATTCTCAAGTTTAAAGTTGATTTCATGTAATCGAATGAACTATCTTATATGTAAAGTCGTCCCAGGAGCGCAACTCAACAATATTGGCAATATCATTTTAAAGTCGTCTACTTTAAAATGCATAATGTATGTCTGAATTGTCAATATAAATGAGTCAGATAAAATTAAATTATTAGAAGAATTTTTCACTATGTAACAAAAAAACAAAATTTGTTTAATTTACTGTTTGTATTTTGAGAACGATTTCCGAAGTGGAAATTGAAACGTCAATAAACGTATTTTATCTTTAATTGTGGATTATTCCCAGTTTAATAGTAATTAATTAAGAATACTTGGAATAACAAATATATTATCAAACCAAACAATCCAAAATATATGGAGCAACTAAAAAATCTGTTTGTGAATACAACTCGCTTCATATTTAAAATGTAGGTTTCATGTGAAAAAATGATTAGAAATACTATCTATTATACATAATGTATAATTATCATCTATATCAGTACATATATTATTTCAAACTATAATATATAATATAATATAAATTAAAACTGTATCTTCAATTTGTAGCAATTTGTAGCAAATATTATAAAAAAATATAAATAAATAAATTATTGTATCTAAATAAACATTCTTGATAGTGAATACATTGATATAAACATAAAAAATACTTTTATGCATATAAGTATTTACACATTATTAAATTGAATTTACAGTCATTAATAAAAATCAGATAAAATTGGCTTTTAACTCGAAAATAAAAAAAAAATGTTTAAAATGCCATATTTTTGGCTCTATAGGTGCTTGAAACTTTTATCTAATTGCAAATTAAAGGTCTTAGAATATAGTTTTATAATCTCCTTAACGCAAAATCCTTTAATGCTGTAGAGATAAAGAAAATATTAAATTTTAAAGAATGATCTAATGTAAAAGGGATGATTTTGATAATTTTAAGAATAAAAACCTTTTTTTCAAAATTTACACATGTGCGATTTAAATTTTAGCATGAAATATCTAGTTTTACTTTAAATAACATATCCCAACTGTACTAATTGGTTATTTTAGCTTTTTAGCTTTAAAACTCACCGTGTGGATATTGATTTTCCCACTGTCTATAAAAGGGTAAAACGGTTTTTTAATATTAAAAGAAAATGTGTTTATAATGAGTGTTTATTAAATGAGAATTGTATATTTTTTATATTTCTCACATATCATGAAATATAAATATTATAAACAGCAGTTTCCACTTTATCTAATACGTATCTAGCTTTTCGTCAGCGTATTTATTGTAAACTGCCTTCCATTCCAGAAAATGTTTGGGATGTTTCTTAACCAGTAGTTCGGAATTTATATCTAAGTAATCAAAATCAGTCGACGTTACTTTTGGCCAACTAACCTTTCCGGAAATTCTGCATCTTTTTGCGGTGGGATTTCTAATAAAAGAATGTACATATTAATTTAACGTTTAGATTTTTATTTATTTTATCAACTAATTTGTAAATTGTATTTTTTAAACTCATTTTTTTAGTACTTCTTTTTTGGAAGATATTTCTGATAACCTTGTTTTGTTTATTGGCCTCTCGTAATATCTTTATGTGTGCGTCAATTAATAATATGGCTAGAAAATGGCCCGACCTGCTTAGTTATACGCAGTAATGACAATCGTCTCATAGACAATTAGTTTTGGGACGGACCAGAACGATGCAGTTAGAGAGGATTTGGAGAATATGGGAATAAGACAAAGAAAATGGTGGCACAGGATCGACGAATGTGGAAGGCACTAGTAAAGTAGAAAAATAATTTATACTGATGCAAAATTAGATGTGCCATCTCCGCGGCGGAGGTCGGCAATCATCATAGCTATTCGGACTTTTGAGACGGCAGCTCTAAAAAGTTCATTTGATGTGCATCCGTACCACTCTCTCAGGTTGCGCATCCATGAAATTTTACGACTTCCTATACTTATCTTTCCTTGGATCTTTCCCTGCATAATCAGTTAGAGCAAGGTGTATTTCTCCCCACGTGTAATATATCCGAGATATTTCAATTTGCTTGTTTTATTTATATTTAAAATTTCCATTTCTTTAGTCATTCTTCTCAGAACCTCTTTCTTTGTGACGTGTGCTGTCCACGATATTTTTAGAATTCTTCTATATACCCCCAGCTTGAATGGTTTCAGTCTTTCCATCGATGTCTCATTCAAGGTCCAAGATTTCATTCCATCAAACAAAGTAGTCACGAAAAAACATAGCACCTCGCAATTTTTAATCCCTTGTTCATAGCACTCTTCTCATTTTGCTGACATTTGCTCTAGCCTTTTCCATTTTGATTTTGATCTCCTGAATGTAATCATTTGTGAAGTTATTCATTGTTTCCAGATATGCATATTTGTCCACTTGTTCGACGTTGGTTAAAGATTCTCGTTATTTATTTGAGTTTTCGATATTCTTATAAATTTCGTCTTCTTAAGGTTCATTATCAGACTGTACTCTTTTCCATATTCCGCTATTCTGGTCACCAGTCTCTAAAGATCTTCAATATTTTCGGCTAAGATCACAGTGTCGTAAGCATTTATTCCAGCTGTTTCACTCTCAAGATCTCAGGATCTCTTCAGAGTAGGCATTAAAAAGAATTGGCGAAAATACGCATCCCTGTTTCACTCCACGTCTAATTTCAATTTCTTCTGACAGCTGTTCATTAACACGTACTTTTGCCCGTTATTTATAGTATATATTTGATATGATCCTGAGGTCGTTGTAGTCAATCTTCTTTGATTTCAGGACATTCATTAATTGTTTATATCTTTGTATTAGTATATTGAGTGAAAAAAGAGCTTCACGCGTTCCTAGGCCTTTGCGAAAACCAAATTGTGTTTCATTAACGTCTATATCCAGTTTGTGATATATTCGGTTATGGATGACTTTTAGTAGTAACTTTAGCACATGAGACATCAAGCTGTTGGTGCGGTAATCGCTGCATTCTCTTGCGTTTTTCTTTTTTGGGGAGAGAAATAAAAATCGATGTTAACCACTCTTTGGGTAATATGCCTGAACTATAAATTTGGTTCAAGAGTGTCACAAAATTAGATACATTGTTTAAATACATCGGAATTAATGTATGATATGCGGACGCACGTATAAAATGAAATAATAGCGATGAGGCAGGATACGAAAGAACAAAGGAAAGAGCAAAATAATCTTAGGAATAAGGTCAACGAACTTAAAGAATATAATAAAAATCAACTACAGAACTATAACAAAATAGCTAAAGCAGATGAACAAGTTAAGGCAGAATTAATAGAAACGCAGAAAACTACATAATTGAGTTGTTAGAAAAATATAAAAGACAGAAACATATTGTTGTTAACGGACTTGAAATATTCTAAAGAAATAAAAAAAGAAAATAACGGAATTCATAGACTGGCACCTGAGAATTGAAACAAAAGTTAACACAATACGGAAACTTGCAAAATATACATGTCTGATAGAATTAGAATATTAAACTATTTAACTGGGAATAAGCCACAATTAAAGGTAAAAATACGTTTATTGACGTTTCAATTTCCACTTCGGAAATCGTTCTCAAAATACAAACAGTAAATTAAACAAATTTTGTTTTTTGTTACATAGTGAAAAATTCTTCTAATAATTTAATTTTATCTGACTCATTTATATTGACAATTCAGACATACATTATGCATTTTAAAGTAGAAGACTTTAAAATGATATTGCCAATATTGTTGAGTTGCGCTCCTGGGACGACTTTACTTATAAGATAGTTCATTCGATTACATGAAATCAACTTTGAACTTGAGAATGTCCGTCAGAAAAAATCATAGCATGTAATTCGTCTTTAAAAAGACAAACACATGACATGATGACAGTAAAATTCTCCTGTTAGTGATACTCCATAGTAAATTATGAGGGAAAACCAGGATAAAAACCTCATAATACTATCCCGACATGGTAATTATTTGGTCGTTACCTTCAATAAACACCAAATTGTGATTTTATATGTTTCGTTATTTAAAAAACATAAATGATGTATCTTCTATATGTTACTGACTTACTAATACTGGTATTTTCTCATTAATAATTTAATTTCATTAAATGTTAGAATAAGTGAACATCAATCTTATATTAAAAATAGAGAGTTTGATAGATCTCAAATATGTAAAACACGCATGGATAATAAACATAGGGTTTAATGGAATAATTCAAATGTAGTCCTAAAAGAAACGGATGGTAAAAAAAGAAAAATCAAAGAAGCGACTCTAATTATGCTAAATGAGACCAATTGTGTCGCAAATTCCTCGGCAGAATATAGTAGGATCTGGTTTTTTTTTTGAACCTATTCTCTATCCTTCCATTGTTGGATATAGGTCTCCCCCAGTTCTCTCCATCTTTCCTATCTTGAGCTGTTCTCTGCCATGTGGGACCTCCTTGTTTCCTGATGTCATCTTTCCACCTCATCTGTGGTCTGCCTCTTGATCTCTTTGCATTGTATGGACGCCACTTTCCGATGGCATTGTTCCATCGTCCATCTTGGAGACGTTCATTGTGTCCAGCCCATTTCCACTTCAGTTTTGCTGCTTGTTCTATCGCGTCTACTGTCTTTGTTCTGGTTCTGATCCACTGGTTACGTTTTCTATCTCTAAGTGATACACCCAACATTTGTCTCTCCATCGCTCTTTGTGCCTTCCTTATCCTATCCAAATTGGCCTGTGTAAATGTCCATGTCTGTGCTCCGTAGGTGAGCACCGGTATGATACAGGAGTTATATACCTTGCTTCGTAAGTATAGAGGGATTGTTTGATTTTTTAGAACGTAAGAAAGTTTGCCGAACGCTGCCCATACCATTCTTACTCGTCTCGATATTTCGGCTGTTTGATTTTCTCTATTAGCTCTGATTGCTTGTCCTAGATAGATATACTCATTTACCTGTTCTATTTTTTCTGTTTTATTTTTATTGCCTCTTGGTCTTCCGTGTTTGTCATTACTTTTGCTTTGTTCAAGTTAATTTTTAGGCCTTTTTGCAGTGATTTTTCATGAAGTTCATTCAGCATTTATTCCAGTTCTTGTCGTTCCGAGGAGATCAGGAGTATGTCATCCGCATATCTAAGGTGATTTAGGTATTTTCCGTTAATACATATTCCTCTGTTTTCCCAATCTGTTGATTTTATTATGTCTTCGAGGGTCAAGGTAAACAGTTTCGGTGAAATTATATCGCCTTGTCGGACTCCTCGTTTAACTTTTATATTATTCGTTATTAATTTGTCGTCCAGAATTACGGTCATGGTTGCGTTCTGGTAAATATCATGTAAATATCTTTTAATATGGGTAACCAGATCCTGGTAAATACATGATATTTACAAGGATCTGGTTACCCATATTAAAAGAGGAAGGTATTAAAAGGAAAATACCAGTATTAGTAGGTCAGTAACATATAGAGGATATATCGTTTATGTTTTTTAAATAACGAAACATATAAAATCAAAATTTGGTGTTTATTGAAGGTAAACTAAATGCACGACCAAATAATTACCATGTCGGGATAGTATTATGAGGTTTTTATCCTGGTTTTCCCTCATAATTTACTATGGAATTACTAACAGGAGAATTTTACTCTCGTCTGTAAATGTCTTGTGTTTGTCTTTTTAAAGACGATTTACATGCTATGATTTTTTCTGACGGATATTCTCAAGTTAAAGTTGATTTCATGTAATCGAATGAACTATCTTATAAGTAAAGTCGTCCCAGGAGTGCAACTCAACATTATTGGCAATATCATCTTAAAGTCGTCTACTTTAAAATACATAATGTATGTCTGAATTGTCAATATATATGAGTCAGATAAAATTAAATTATTAGAAGAATTTTTCACTAAGTAACAAAAAACAACATTTGTTTAATTTATTGTTTGTATTTTAAGAACGATTGCCGAAGTGGAAACTGAAACGTCAATAAACGAATTTTTACCTTTTGTGTCTTATTCCCAGTTAAATAGTAATTAATTTAAAATCCCACAAGAAAATAGCTTCAGAACAATATTAAGAAGTAGAGTATGTTTTTAAAAAGAAAAAAGAAAAGAAAGGAAGAGAGAAAAACAGGAAAACAAGTAGAAACAGAATTCGTTTAGTTAGTAGTTAAAAAAGAGATATATAAGTGAGCAAGGCAGTGAGAACTGGTGATAATGAGTGAAAAGTATAAATAAGAAAAATAATAGAACGGAGGAAAAAGAGAGCTGATAGGGGACCCTGGAACATTAGGGTCCTTTTATGAGGGAGCGTAAAGAGCTAACCGATGATTTAAAGAAATGCATAATAGATGTTATGGCTTTACAAGAAACTAAACAAATGGGAAATGAAATAATGGAAGTTGAGGGCATAGCGCTATTTAGCGTGACAGAACGAATATTTAGACGAAAGAAGAGAAATAAATGAAAAAATAAACAAGAAATCTTCTTCTTCCTCTTTATAAGCAATTCTGCTTGTTCATTGGCGGATTGATACCTCTATGGAAGGTAGTCACTCCATCTTTTGCGCGGTCGTTCGATATTTATTTTGCCGATTGGTGAATTATCTCTTGCTATTTTTAAGACACGGCTCTCTTCCATTCTGCTGGTTATTTTATTATTTTCTTCTATTTTGAGTCCATTCATTTATATACTGTACGTTCCATTTTCTTCTAATGTCTTCACTTCTCTTTCGGTCTCATCGTATTTCCTGTAATTCTTCTCAATACTCTTATCTTTGCCGTTTCCAGTAGCCGTTGCGTTGTGGCTGGTCAGGTCTTGCTTCTGAAGCATATGTCATTATTGGTCTTACACTGGTTTTATTAATTCTTGACTTCATCTTAATGTTAATGTGTCTGCTTCGCCATATAGTATTATTAAGGCAACCTGTCAGTCTATTTACTTTTTGTACTTGATCTCTCACTTATTTTTCCAGGTCTCCATAGCTAGACAATGTAATTCACAGGTATTTTATTTCCATTACTTTAATACTGATGCCATCAATTTAAAGTTAAAGTTTAAATGTTGGACCGAAGATAAACAAAAAAAAAACATTCATGAGTTGGACCGAAGCTTTATTATATCCCATATACAAAAAGGGGGATATATTGGCATCTGAAAATTACACAAGTATTGCTTTGTATTGCAAAAGGTAAAAGAGATGTAGGAAGAAGACGAACCTCCTGGCTACGAAATCTAAGGGAATGGTTTAGTCTGAGCTCTAGCCAACTATTTAGAGCTGCTGTAAGTAAAGTAAGAATTGCCATGTTGATATCCAACCTTCGTTAGAAGATGGAACCTTAAGAAGAAGATTGCTTTGTTAGATATTTATTACAAGGTATGAGCAATTATGGATAACGAAAAAAGTAAATACACAGAAATTAGAAAGATGAGAAAGGAAAATCCTCAGAGCTATATAATGAAGGCAAAAACACGGAGGATGGTTGGGTGTGACAAACAAACGGGAGTGAGAGGAACTTTACAACTGACACAAGCATCAGTCGCTTCATAAAAGCACAGAGAGTGAGATGAATGGGACATGTGATGTGAATTTAAAGGACGAGGATGCCAAATATGATTTTAAAGTGGGACCCAATCACGAAAAGAAGGAAATGACGACTCAGAGAAAGATGATTTGATAGCGAACAGGAAGATCTAAAAAAAAGGAATTTATGATTAGGAAAGAACAGGGATGAATGGCGAAGAACAGTAAGTTAATTTATTAGGCTAGGAGCGTACCCTTCCAAAAACTAAGGGAGCAAAGAAGTGTGGTGATTTCAGACTTATTAGTTTAATGTCGCATATGTTAAAGTTATTCTTGAAAGTTATTCACCAACGCATTTATAAGAAATGTGAACAGGATATCAGTGATGAACAATTTGGCTTCCGAAATGGATTTGGGACATGGGAAGCATTAACCAGTTTTATTATACTGCTGCAAAAATGTCGAGACCAAAAAAAGGATCTCTTTTTATGTTTTATTGACTATCAAAAGGCTTTCGACAAAGTAAAACATGATAAGCTGATGGATTGCCTTCACAAAAAGGGACTAGACGAGAACGATTTTAAAATTATCCAAACGCTGTATTTTAACCAAACTGCAACAGTTAGAACAGAAGCCGGTGACACAGAAATATTCAATATCAAGCGAGGTGTACGACAGGGGTGTGTATTGTCACCACTACTTTTTAATATATATTCGGAAGAAATCTTTGCACGAGCACTAGAGCAATCAAGAGAAGGTGTTAAAATTAACGGCAGAGTTCTAAATAATGTACGATATGCCGACGACACGGTCCTAATTGCAGAGAGCGCACAGGATCTCCAGACACTCTTAGATCGCGTCAGATCGATCGGAGAACAATACGGCCTCAGCATTAACGTCAAGAAAACAAAAACAATGATTGTCTCCAAAACATCCATCCATCCACCAATGGCTTTAAACGTGAATGGTAACATTATCGAAAATGTCGAAAAATTTCGATATCTAGGGTGCTGGATAACGAAAGATATAGATCCAGACATAGAAATAAAATCGCGAATTGAACAAGCAAGAAATGTCTTTTTAAAAATGAAACAAATGTTTACGTCCCAAACACTTAATCTCAAAATCCGATACCGAATGCTGAAATGTTACGTTTACAGCACCTTACTATATGGAATTGAGGCCTGGACCTTCAAAATCAACTCACTCAGGCGTTTGGAAAGTTTTGAAATGTGGTTATTTCGAAGGATGCTGAAAGTCCCCTGGACAGCGCATATGAGCAACGAGCAGGTCCTACACAAGATGGGTACCGACAGAGAACTCTTAAAAATAATGAAAACACGGAAAACCTCATATTTGGGACACATATACAGAAATAAGAAATACCAGCTACTGCAGTTTCTTATAGAGGGGAAGGTAGAAGGAAAACGTGGTCCTGGTAGACGGCAGGCGTCCTGGTTGAAGAACATTCGTGAGTGGACTGGTTTGGATTCTCAATCTTTAATAAGAAAAGCCATGGACAGAAATGATTTTGCTGAGGTTATCGCCAACCTTCATTGAAGACGGCACCCAAAGAAGAAGAAGAAGCGTACTTGGATCAGAAGCTACCCCAATTGATAAATTGGAAGTTGAAAGTTTTGTAATATATAAGTATAATACTGTATTTTAGCCCTAGGTCTTCAAAATCTGTTGAGCTTTGTAAATAAAATAACAGTAAATGTGGCAAAGACTCACGAAGGGTGTAACGCCATTGATGAGTTGGTTGATGAGCCTTTAGTACCCTGATTAACTTCGCTAATTTGTTGTTTATAATAAGTTATTAATTTTAAATTTTATTGAACGAGCTGTAAAGGTTAATACTACTCTAAGATTATTCAAAGTTATAAAAGTATCTCAAATTATCTTAGCAAAATCTCAATTTTTTATTAAAAAATCTAAACGCAAATACGTACAAATATTTTATGAACTGCGTCCAAAGCTCCATCACTCGATTGCTAATCACCCAGTCCTGTTTCGGCATTGTTTGTCGAATAAGTGTGTTATTTTTCCAAAAATAACTAATTTCTTCGAAGTGCCCTACCCCTTTTTGTCCTACAGAAGAATAAAAATTAGCTGTTAAGTTTGTGATCCATATATAACTTTTTAGTAGAGATGTAGATAAGCCAAGTATACAAATAAGTATAAATATCAAAATAAAAAAGTCGTCTTCGAGAGGCTGCGCGAAGTTGTTGAGGATACCTTGTGAGAAAAGTTGATGGTAACAACTGTTTCACTTCTTTCTAATTACTTTTATTATAAACAGTAAACAATATTACAATACTTGGTAAAAAACTGTCTAAAGATGGATTCGATTGACTAAAAACAACAAGAGCCAAAATAAAAAGCACTTACACAGTGGTGTATACAAACTTAAATGTCTGCCCAAAAACTTACATCGGTCAAACTGGTAGAAATTTTAAAAAACCAATAGCAGAACATAAAAAGGCTTTCAATTATAGAAAAACAGATTCTACATACGCACTTCACCTTCTAGATCATACTCATTCTTTTAATGACGAATTTCAAATTCTTCACATTCAAAATAAAGGCGTTAAGCTATCTTTGTTAGAATCTATAGTTTTCAGTGTTCTACTGTTACATATTTTTTTATGTGTAAAATTAAGGCATTTCCGAATTTAGTGAGTTATCGCTAATAGCTAATGTTGGATTTGAGTCTGAAATTACTGCAACATTCGTGCATATTTGAGATGCACCCCATTTTAATGAATTTCCAATGGCAAAGGAATTTGGGATTCTGTACTTTTCAATATGATTTATGTTTGAAATAAAAAATGCAGAACTTGTATTTCAATCCGTTTTGACCTATCTGCATATATTTGTGATAAGTTTGACCCGAGGCTACTTATAGCGGCTTCCCACGGTCGGCGATATTGCGGACGTAAGCGGACCAGCCCACACCACGCACCGTGGGAAAGGTCTCGTCCGTGGTAGCACAGACACGTCCGTTCTGGTGCGTCCTATCCATCTAGAGTCGGTAACATCAAAGGTGCGGTATATGCTCGTGCTCGCGATCCTAGCGCGTCTGTGTTTTAACAGACAACTGCAAGTCAGAAGTTTTTCATTCGCTGACACGAGTAGTTGTCTGTAGTGTTGTCAAAGTTGTTTTGCAGTTTTTTGCTAAAAAATGGAATGGACAAACGAAGTTATTTTTGATTTTTTAAATTTGTATCAAAATGAAACAAATTTATGGAATTCTACGGCACCAGAGCATAAGAAACGGAACCGATATATACGATGTATGGAACCGAATAAAAAATCAATTGAAGAATAGTACTATTTCGATTAAAGAATTAAAAAAGAAGAGAAATAATTTAATGCCGACATACAAAAGGCAAAAAAACAAAAGTTGGAGAATCGATGGGAACTGGAAGTGGGGCTGATGATGTTTACAAGCCTGAGTGGCCTTTTTATGATATAATCAAACAATACTGTCACGGACCTACACAGACTGTCACGGACCGTAGGAAGAGCTCTGTCTGCGGTGCGTTGTCGTCCGTGCTGATCGGCTGTCCGCGATGATCTGTAGAATCGCCGATCGTGGGAAGCCACTATTAGAATAGATTTTATCATGGCTTGGTTTAAGATATTACAATCTAAATACTGAGTATTGACGTTTCAATTTCCACTTCGGAAATCGTTCTCAAAATACAAACAGTAAATTTACTAAATACTGAGGAAATATGGTGGTAGGTTTGTCAATTATAGAATCGAAATATTGTGCATTTGATGGCATTTTATTAAGTTGAACAATATCGGTTTAAAATAAGTTCGTATCAATAAAAGCACCTGCCTAGAGGAGAGGAAGAGGAGAGTCTTTCTTTTTCCAATAATGATTTGTAAAATTTTCAGTTACAAGAAAGTTAATTCTTGCACTCAAATCATTGTTATTAAACATTTATATTTTATTAGACTTTTATTAGCTAAAAACTGTCTTTTTTACTGCTAAAAAGAGCAGTTTTAGTTGGTAAGTATTGTGCCATAGACGCATCCAAGGGCATGATCCCCAAAAGGGGAATTGCGTTCGGATGTATCCGTCCACTCTGAATCCAATTCACGCAAGGCACGATTCACCTGGTACGGTCTTTAAAAGATTTCTACTCTCACATAAATGCTAGAAAATTTAGGATTTCTTAGAAGCGGGAAAACAATTACAAGAATTTATAGGCACAGAAAAAAATAACAGCTTGATAATTACTTGAACAGTGAGAAAAAAAAAGAATGCAAAACAAAATAGAAACAAAATATAAACGTATATAGAAGATGTTGATAGAACTGCTGAATACTTGGGACGTACTTACCTTCAACATGATAAGACATTTTTCCAAGCAATCCGCGGTAAGAAAAATTGTAATAGTAAGTATCTGCATACTCCGAGTGTAACACGGCATATTCTTGTGAAGGAACGTTGAACATAGCAGCGCTAGCAGACTGCAAACAATATAAGATTAGTGTAGGTCATTTTTTATCTGTTAAATTAATTATCTTAGAATAATAATAATATATTTACTACAAAACATATTGTTTAATTCAAATGAAAACAAAAAACCACAAACTCAAAAAGACTACCCGTGGTATATTCGTGTAGTTAGCTACTCAAATATTTACATTTTGTTACTTTAACAAATAAAAAAAATAGAGTCGACATTTATAATAATACTCTAGCTCAGTGATGGAGAAACTTTTTCTTTAGCGTGCCAATATCTATTAAAAAAATATATCTTTGCATTTTTGGTTATGTTCTTTGCTGAAATAACAATATTGATTTTTTTAAAACACTTTTATATATTCAGGGATTCTAAAGTGTTCACTGTTTTCCCTCGCTCAACCGTTTCCATCTTTCTCTGTTGTCACATTCTCCAACGTGACTCTCTAACTCATGGCGTCATCTACTTCGTCTTTCCAGGATGTTTAGGGTCGTCCTCTTTTCCTCCTTTCTATGAAGCTCCATTCGTTTATTCTTTTAATCATGTACATACCATTTTAGTCTTTTTTGTTCTATATATATATATATATATATATATATATATATATATATATATATAGTATGTCTGTTTCTATTGATAGCTCTTCTAATAACATTTACGGATATATTTGTAAAAGAGCCTAAATTTAAGTGTGGTTTGAAGCAATTAACTTACAACTTTAAAAAAGCAAATTTTCCTGCTTTATATCGAGAACTGTATGAAACGGATTGGAATTCTCTGGATACTTCTAATGACGTTAATGAAACTTTAAATAACTTTTATGATAATATTTTTTTCTGTGTTTAATAAGTATATTCCAGTTTATAAAAACTTTAGCCATACATACCCCTCCTGGTTCGATGCTGATATCATTCACAACATCAAATTAAAAGCAAAGTTTAGAAAAAAATTTAAACGATTCAAAAATCATTGTGATTTGCTTGAGTTTCAACGGTTAAGACACCTTGTCAAATCAAAAATCAGTTTGGCATACAATGTATATGTCGAGAATATCCAAATTGCTTTATCCATCAACCCCAAGAAGTTTTGGTCTTATGTAAATTCAAAAAATAATAGTTCAAGAATTCCTGGTGTGATGAAATATAATGACATTACTACCTCCGACCCACAAAATATTGTGATTGTGTTTGCAGAATTTTTCAGGAGTGTTTTTCTGTCATCAGATATTAATTTCAAGGCTAACTCTTCCTGAGTTAACGCAGATTACTTAAATTTTTATCCTATTTTAGAGTCTGAGATAATTTTTGCTAGTAAAAAATTGAAAGACAAAATGACGTGTGGACAATATCCGAGTCTCTGGAAGGAGTCAAAAGTGTGCGAAATATTCAAAACTGGTGAAAAGGGTCAGGTAGAAAACTACAGACCAATTTCCATTATTTGCAATCTATCGAAAGTCTTTGAAATAGTTTTGTATAATCGTATTTATTCACGCACTCGTAATCAGTTGTCTCAATATCAACATGGTTTTGTCTCCAATCGGTCCACTATGACAAACTTATTAATGGTCACACAATATATCTCAGCAGCCCTAGATAATAGAAGTCAAGTTGACGTCATATATACTGACTTTACGAAGACATTCGACAGAATTCACCACGGCGTATTACTTTCTAAATTGTTTCTTCTTGGTCTTTCTGAGGATGCAGTGACTTTTATGAGGTCTTACTTGTCAAATAGAACGCAGTTTGTTGCTTATAATAGTTACAAATCGGAAAAGTACCTAGCTTCTTCAGGGGTTCCACAAGGTTCTAATCTAGGTCCATTATTGGTCTTGTTATTTATTAAGATCTGTGTGAATCAATTTCTGCACCATGTTTATGTTATGCCGATGATTTAAAGATTTATTCATTGATAAGCGACCTTAATAATTGTCATTTTCTGCAGAGTGAACTGAATCGTGTACATGAATGGTGTAATACAAATCATTTGAATCTTAATGACAACAAGTGCAAAGTAGTTAGTTATTCTAGGAAACTGTCTAATATATACCATCCTTATATTATCGATGGCAATGAACTTGAACGTTTGAATAAATTAAAGACCTTGTAGTTACATTTGATTATAAACTCATCTTTGTTAAACATGTTAATTTAAAGGTTAAAGAAGCACTTAAATCTTATGGATTCATAATTAGAAATAGTCGAAATCTCACTAATACTAAAGCAATTAAATTACTTTATTACACTTTTGTACGATGTAAACTGGAATATGCTTTTATCATTTGGTCACCTTTTTATGATGTACACATCCAAATTATAGAGCACGTGCAGCGTAAATTTTTAAAATTTTTGTCTTTCAAAATTAACGGCATATATCCCAGGAGGGGCATCAGCAATAGTGAGTTGTGTAGCGGTTTGGACGTAGTATCATTAGAATCTAGACGAATTAATGCCTCCCTAATATTCCTGTACAAGCTACTACATAATCTCATTGACTGCCCTGATATTCTTCGACAAATAAATTTTAACGTTCCATCTTATCCAGTGAGAAATTCGATTACGTTCAGAAATACACAAGCTAGAACTAATCTTATGTTAAATTCTCCCATATTTCTCACGTGCAACTATTATAATTCCTTAAGTGCTTACTGCGATATATTTCACTGCAGTTTAAAGCAGCTTACTAGGATGGCTGTGATCTACCTAGGTGATTAAGTAGTTTCTTTATGTTAAGGTAAAATACTCGAAAATGTGTTATTTAGTTATTACCTATGAATTATTAATATTTCTGTTAACTTTAGTATTGTATTTTGTCCTATAAATGGATTCTGTTGGACAATAAACGCTATAATAATTATTATTATTATTATTGATGTTCTTTACTTTATTTCGCCATTACTTCTCTATCCATTCTTGTTACTCTGCAGCATCTTCGCAGATATTCCATCTCTGTTGCTACTATTTTACTGCTGTTTTTCTTGTTTATAATACAATTTTTAGTCCCAGATATCATAATACTACGCTTTAATGTTTTATAAATCTGTGTTTTTCATATTTAGGTGTCTATCCCACCATAGTGAGTTAAGTTATCGGATTGCTGCCCTTCTGCCCTTGTTTGTCCTAATCTTTGTGTAATTTCTTCCTCTGTTGTTGCCTTTTTCGTGATTATAAACTCCAAGTATTTGAACTTATCCTTTCCTTTGATTGTTACGTTGTCGACAATCTGTAGATCTTCTATGGCTTTTTTACTTGTAGATAGGTACTCTGTTTTCACGAGGTTAATATTTATGCCAGCATTGGTATATTCTTATTGTATTCATTATGTAACTGAGGTCTTCTTAGTCTTGTGCAATCACTATTTGATGGTCTACAAAGCTTAATGTATTTAGGTATTCGTTTCGTACCGGTACTCCCATGCCTTCGCATTTTCTTTTCCATGTAGTCAAGGCTTTCTCTAAGCATATTTTGAATAGGGTTGGAGATTTGGAGCAGCCCTGCAGAAGCCCTTCTGTTGTGGTGAAGTCTCCCATGATTCATGTTCCCATTTTAATGGACACTTCATTTTCTTTATACATAGCTTTGGTAGCTTCTATGAGTTCCGTCTGTATTTCTAATTTGTACATTGTCTCCCATAGTTCTAACTTTGGCAAAGAGTCATACGCCAAGGTCCAAAAATGCCAAATGTATATCTCTATTGTTTGCTTTTTTCTTTTCCAACAGTTGTTTCAGTGTGTATATGTGGTCTATGCATGATCTTCCTGCCGTGAAGCCTACCTGATCCTGCCCGATTTTGCCTTTTATTGCTTGCTCTATCTTTTCTCGCAGTATTGTCCCATAATAATCTTCCTATTAATGATATTACACTTATTTCTCTGTAGTTTTTGCATGGTTTTCTATCTCCTTTCTTAAATGGTCTCCTTTCTTAGATGTCATATATATGCCTCCGTCCGTTCCATTGAAAGCTTTTCTCCATTTATGGCTTTCTGAAATATCCATTTTATCATCCGGTGTAATTTTTTCTTGAACCATACTTTATAAGCTCAGGTAAGATGCCTCCAGATTTCTGTGCTTTCTTATTTTTGTTTGCTTTTAAAACCGTTCTCATTTCCCTATCTGTTATTTCTATTTCTTGTTGTGGGGATCTGCCTCGTCTAAGTCTGTTTTCTTTTCTAATGAATTATGGTCTTTGTTCTGTTAACAGTTTCTTGTAATAGTCCTTCCATCTTCCATTCTTTCTCCTGTATATTTCCCAATTTAATTTTTTCTTTTGAGTTTTGTTTCAATCCTCCCAGTACTTTACATGACTCCGAAGTTTTTGTACCTCCTATACCTCCATAGTATCTACTTATTGTACTAAGATCTTTAGATTCTTCAGCGTTATTTGTCTTAAGTACTGCAATGAAAGTCAGCCAATCATCCTGCATTTCTCCTGTTTCATAGACCATATTAAGAATGTTAGTAAGCATACAAAGCTCTTACGGAAGTTAGCTGACCAAAAAATGAGATATTTTGGGTCTGTTGTATGTTTTTTCATTTTTATCTTCGGTGTGACACCTACATGTGGATATGAAAGATGGGTCATTATCATTCAATCTTCGCTTGTTCACTACTGGACATATATCTAACTCATAATTTTTCTGTTTCGATATTATGCTTCTTGCAACCAATTCATATGACAATGTTTTAGATCGCCAGTCCAACGTGTTGGTGGACGAAATCTGCTCAGTAGACATCATCTTTTGGTTTCCATTCCAGTGCCCGCTTTGTGCTTCTGTTATCTCTCATTTGAATCATGACCTTTCCAATTTTACTTCAGTGTTGCTATTCTCTTTATATCATAAGCCACTTATGATCTTGTCCCGTAGTGAAACGCCCAACACACCACGCTCCAGCGCTCTTTGAGCCGCATGGATCTGTTTTACTTTTTTCCTGATCCTCCTCCTTCTTAAGTGCCTTCTTGAGGTTGGCGATCAATATCGCAAATTTCTCTCTGTTTAAGGCTTGATGAATTAATTCATTTCCTCTTGTGTGGGTCCAATCTCTAATGTTTCGTAGCCTAGATTTTTTCTTTCGTCCTATGCCTCTTTTACCTTCAATCTTGCCTTCTAATATTACCTGAATCTGCTCAAATTGCTATGGCGCATTATGTGTCCTTAATATGACGTTTTTCTAATTTTGATAGTATTGACCAGATGAAGGCGTGTGTTTATTACTCTCAGTACTTCTTCATTCGTAGTGCTGCTGGTCCAGCTTATCCTTAACATTTGGCGGTACGTCCACATTTCAAATGAATTTAATTTGTTGACTTCATACTGTTTTAATATCCAGGTCCGATAGCCATACAGTAGTAGAGACCACACATAACACTTTAGTGTCCTCAATCTTATTGAGACTGATAGCTTGGGTTTCAGAGCATTTTACGCATATTCATGAAACCAGATCTTGCTATATCAATGCGTCTTCTAATGTCTTTTAAGTGGTCTAGTTGACTATTTAGCTTTCTTTGATAGTATACAAGGCAACTATCGAACACAGTGATTAATTAAGTCTTGCCCAAGTACTTTCGATCAATAGATCATCTTCAGGGGCATCTGAAATAAGCAAAGAAACGTTTTTTTAATAAGAAGGAAAATTAATTCACTTGGATAAAAAACTCCAAGTTTATGGTTGAAAAAAGTTTTTTTGTGATAAACGTTTATAGACTTACTTCGTCAGTTGTGGCCTATCCAACATAAGTAGAATGTCATACATGTAAATTTGGACATAACAATACAATACACAAAGACAAACAAACACTTTAAAATTTTAAAAAGGAGAAACTACATGTTGTATAGAAGCCGGAGACAGAATGGGCTACCGGTCTGGCGGAAATGTTGAGATGACATGTAACAAAATGACAGCTTGTAAAGGGCAGTTATGTGATCTGCACCTTTCAAAATTCTATGAAACTAAGTATTGACCAAAGTTCCAACTGACACCACTTTAGGAAATCAACTGATGAAATATAAAATTAGTCTATTTTAATGTAGATTGAATAATCCAAATCTCACACTCAAACCTGTCTATAATAATTAGGATGTTAGTTTGAGAGCGATTGTGGTTGACATAAAGTTTGAATGTAAGAAAAGACTAAACAATATATTAGACAGTGGATGGTTGACTACAATAAAATGGTCCACCAAGCGCTATCAGTACTGTAAAAAAGGAAAAATCTGAATATGCAGTTAAATTACTAAAAGTTAAAATCAAAATTGAAAGCAAAATATATAAATGGGTTATAATCCAAGTAGTTCAGTTGAATCCACAGTCAATGGAAGAACTTTAAAATTAATATTGAAATGCTCAGTGCATGAAGTCTAAACAGTCGAGCTGGGTCTTCTACGAGGTGAAGCTGTAATAAAGTTTTTAAATATAGGATTAAATTTAGTACAATTTAAATTAATTTGAGTATTAAGACTGTGAGAGTTTTCATTTGTTTCCCTTGTAATCTCCAAATCTTCCAATAAATCCAACTCAAGATAGTTTTTCTTTCTACTAATGTCATGTAAGATAGATGAACCAGAATTGATGTTAAAATTATGGTTGGTGGATACTAAGTGTTGACCAAAACTTGAAGAATTTGGTCTTTTCAAATGTTAAGAGACTCTAGTGGATAACTTTCTGATGGTTTCTGATTGGTTCTGAATTTGGCTGCTTTCAACAGTTACATTCATCGGTTACTTAAATTTCCTCTTTCTGATAATATCAATACAGAACTTAATACTCTTAAGCAGATTGCTTTCAATAATGGCTATGATCCTAACATTATATACAAACTTCTAAATAGAGCTAAACTAAAAATTGCAGAAAAGCTTGCATATTCATCACAGTTTTTTCAACCTAATGCTTCAGACCACATAAGATATTTCTCCTTCACTTATATTAGTAGAATTTCCAATAAAATATCCAAACTTTTTACTTCTACAATTGATAACATCAAAATTTCCTTTAAATCACATAACACTTTAGGTTCCTTCTTAATCAATACCAAAGATAGGATGAATACACTTGATAAAAGTGGTATTTACAAATTAAAATGTGATGATTGTAATGCCTCTTATGTAGGTAGAACCATCAGAAAGTTATCCACTAGAGTCTCTGAACATTTGAACACACCAAATTCTTCAAGTTTTGGTCAACACTTAGTATCCAGCAACCATAATTTTAACATCAATTCTGGTTCATCTATCTTACATGACATTAGTAGAAAGAAAAACTATCTTGAGTTGGATTTATTGGAAGATTTGGAGATTACAAGGGAAACAAATGAAAACTCTCACAGTCTTAATACTCAAATTAATTTAAATTGTACTAAATTTAATCCTATATTTAAAAACTTTATTACAGCTTCACCTCGTAGAAGACCCAGCTCGACTGTTTAGACTTCATGCACTGAGCATTTCAATATTAATTTTAAATTTCTTCCATTGACTGTGGATTCAACTGAACTACTTGGATTACAACCCATTTATATATTTTGCTTTCAATTTTGACTTTAACTTTTAGTAATTTAACTGAATATTCAGATTTTTTCCTTTTTTACAGTACTGATAGCGCTTGGTGGACCATTTTATTGTAGTCAACCATCCACTGTCTAATATATTGTTTAGTCTTTTCTTATATTCATACTTTATGTCAACCTTAATCGCTCTTAAACTAACATCCTAATTATTATAGACAGGTTTGAGTGTGAGATTTGGATTATTCAATCTACATTAAAATATACTAATTTTATATTTCATCAGTTGATTTCCTATAGTGGTGTCAGTTGGAACTTTGGTCAATACTTAGTTTCATAGAATTTTGAAAGGTGCAGATCACATAACTGCCCTTTACAAGCTGTCATTTGTCACATGTCATCTCAACATTTCCGCCAGACCGGTAGCCCATTCTGTCTCCGGCTTCTATATAACATGTAGTTTCTCCTTTTTAAAATTTTAAAGTGTTTGTTTGTCTTTGTGTATTGTATTGTTATGTCCAAATTTACATGTATGACATTCTACTCCTGTTGGATAGGCCACAACTGACGAAGTAAGTCTATAAACGTTTATCACAAAAAAACTTTTTTCAACCATAAACTTGGAGTTTTTTTATCCAAGTGAATTAATTTTCCTTCTTATTAAAAAAACGTTTCTTGGCTTATTTCAGATGCCCTGAAGATGATCTATTGATCGAAAGTACTTGGGCAAGACTTAATTAATCACTGTGTTCGATAGTTGCCTTGTATACTATCAAAGTTTAATTATTCGAACATTCAACCTTATATTGATTTAGCTTTCTGCCCAGGTATATGCGTAAAGCTATGGGAACTCTGAAGAGATACCATTTATTTGTATGTTAGGTGTAACTTGTTCATGGGGTTTTTTGTGGAATACCAGAATTTTGGTTTTGGAAAAGTTAATGTCCAAGCCCAGCCTGTGACTTTCTTCTGATAATATGTTCATTAATATTTTTAGTTGGTGTTCTGTTTCTGCTAATACTACGGTGTCATCGGCATATCTTATATTGTTAATGATGATTACATTGACTCTGGCACCTTCAGGGCGATCTTCAAGAGAAGCTTTAATTATATGTTCGGCATATACATTAAATCGTAGGGGGGATAAATTGCACCCTTGACGCACTCCCCGTTCTATGTTGATGTACTTGGCGTTTCCGTTCTCTGTTCGAACGCATCCTGTGTGGTTCCAGTGTATGTATTATTTATGATATCTATGTCGTGTCCTACTTTTTTTAGCACCTCAATCAATTTTCCGTGTTTGATGCGGTCGTAGGTCCTTTCTATAATCGACAAAGCACACATACAATCGTTCTTGAACCTCAAGATACCTTTCTGCTATCAGTGTCAGTTCCATAATTGCTTCTCTAGTGCCTGGACCCTTTCTAAAACCATATTGAGAACGACTCAGGTATTCTTCATACTTATTGTGAATTTGGTTATGTTATTTGGTTATATAAGTTAATTTCCTGACAGCATTATCACTTAGGTGTTTAAAATGTTCGGCTGTTATTAGGTCTTTGCCGGGTGCCTTGTTGTTCTTTGCTTCTTTTATTGCCTGCAAAACTTCTTCGATAATAATGTTTAATTTTTCATCTGTATCTATTTGTGGGGGCTCTTCTGTTCTCTGATCACCAAACAAATCTTTAAGATATTGCCCCCATATTTCTTTCTGTTTTTCGGATCTAATTCCATTTGGTTTTTCTTGTTTGTTACAATCGATAAGTGTTTGAGTTTTCTAACTGGTAAAAAAAATATAAATAATAAAGCAAAACAGAAAACATCTCCAACTAAAATCCAAGCTAACAAAGTGAAATTTTACAGCAGAGTAAAAGGAACAATAAAATGTATCAAATAGTATAGTTGAAACAAAACAAAACTTACGTTAATACAAGTCGTTACGTCAGAACGCAGTGTGAAATTGGTATATATTTCCCGTATCTCTGTTGCTGCTGTTTTCTTGTTTTCACTCTTTATCCTTAAGTTTTTATTTATAATCATAGAATAAACTAAATCGAAACCGTCGCAAAGTATTTTTATGCGAGGAGCTCCTAAAAATTATAGTTTATAATAATGGATGTTATACTTACTATCGATATTTTGCTTTTAAAGTTGTTCATAGATTAGAACAGAGTCAACTAGTAAAATACCTTGGGTTGCACACTTAGAGTAAGCAATAAGTCTTTTCCTTTGTATTATAAAATCCTTATCTTAACTCGATCGGTTTTTACAATATTTTATTGTCTTTATATTATCATTAGCTGCTTTTAACTCTGCCTGGGGGTTATGAGCGCGATGGCTGGATGTACAGGGTTGATTGGCCAGGTTAGCATCCTACTATTTGTAAAAGAAAACAAGGCTCAAAGAACCGATATAAAGCCTCGGATCCAGACAGAACCTAAGATGACGAACCACGCAAAGAAAAGGAAAATGAGAAGGAAAAATAAGCCCAAAATCAGATTAGCTACATGGAACAACATGGAACTTCTTTTAACAACAAAGACCGAGAGACAATAGAAGAACTGTTAAATAAAAACATAGACATTTGTGCAATCCAAAAAACCAAGAAAAAAGGGAAAGGCCAAAAAGACTATAACCAATATTTGGTTGTCCTGACGGAAAGATACCTGATCGAACTGTTTACAGCAAAGGAAATTAATAATTAACACAATTATGTACCTGAATTAAGACACGAAATAGAAATCAGTTTTCAGAAAGTAGAAATAGCCATAAATTGACACAAAAATAGAAAGTCACCAGGACTAGACAGAATAATCAACGAGGTTCTAAAACACGGAGAAGAAAGTATAAACCTAGAGATGACAAAACTTATATAAAAACTAATATTGCACTGCAAGATACCAGACGCCTGGAGAAACAGCATAATGATACCAATGTTCAAGAAAGGAGATAAAGAAGACCCCAACAATTATAGAGTTATAAATCTACTGAACACCGCACTTAAGCTTACCACAAAAGTCCTAATCAACAAAATCAATAAACTAACAACTTTATCAGATGAACAACAAGGATTCAGATCCGGAAGATCCTAAGTGGACGCCGTATTTGTACTTGGACAAATCACCAAAAAGGCCATCGAGTACAATAAATCAGCATATCTGTATTTTATAGACCTGACAAAAACTTTCGATCGCATCCAAGTCGAAGACGTCTTACACCTACTGTATAAAAGAAACACAGGATAAGATAAATGGAAAACTAACACAGTGTATACAAGTACAAAGTGGATTCAGATAGGGTGACTCGTTAAACCCACTTCCCTTTAATATAATAATGGACGAAATAATACAAGTAGTACGTAAAGGTCAGGGCTACAGAAAAGGGAACAAAGAAATCCAAATATTCTTGACAGAAGACGAGCTCCAAAAATTAACACATATCTTCAACACAACAGCTAAAAAATACAATATGATAATATCAGCAGAACAAACCAAATGTATGACAACATCTAAAACCCACTACGGTGTAAAATCAAAATTGATGGGAAAATAATAAAGCAGGAAGTAAGATTTAGATATCTGGGAATATATATATATATATATATATATATATATATATATATATATATATATACTAGTAACTAGTTACGGAGATGTTGAAGAAGTACGACAACAAAGCTTAAAACAAGTAAAGCGACGGGATCTTTTGATGACACAATCTGGAAGAACAAACACCCAAGACAAGACACAAAAACCTGAATCTACAAAGCAGCAATTAGACCTATTGTCTAATTGCTGCTTTTAAGAAATTGGACAGTATAATTTTATTACCCAGTAGACCGAATGAATTTATTTGTTATTAAATACACACACGTAGTTAATTAGGTTACATTAGATTTGGTCAATTACCAACAATAAAATTTGGACATCAGTCGAAAGTGCTGACGAAAGTGAAACAATTTACACACAACTTAGATACACATGTCATTAGGTCCGCGAATATATTGACCCAATTAAAACTTATATAAAACTAAAATCTCTTGCCTAGAGAAGCATTCAATCAATATTCACTCAACAAACGTGACAGTCTTCAACGCTCAACTGCAACAGTCTCTACTCAAAGTAATCCCGAGTCAACACCCATAGTGTTCGTCTCGTCAATAAACTCTGCTACTATTATTTTGTATTTCCATTACAACTGAACGAACATCTTAACTGAGCCAACGAAGGGGAAGTTGTTCACCTATATTAACATATACGGTGGAGACAAGACCTGACACATCTAAAATGAGACGACTACTAGAAACAAAAGAGATAAAAATACTCCAACGAATATCAGGGAAAATTCTGTTGGATAAAGCAAGAAGCAAAAACATAAGAACATGCAATATAGAAGACATAAGTAGATGGGTGACGAAAACAGGTGTGGAACGAATACACCAGTAGAATTACAGAGGATAGAATAGTACGAATAGCACGAAATAAGTCACCAAATGGATGAAGAAGTATTGGCAGACCAAGAAAAAGATGGTGCGATAATTTAGACAATTTGGAAGGCTAATATTAAAGAAGAAACAGGCTTTAAAGCCTACATACAGAAAGGAAGAAGAAAAAGAAGATTAGCTGCTTTCTCCTAGTCTCAGCTATCGTGTCCATAATATTTGAAGCTATATTGACTAAGATCTGGTCTAGTCTACACGTTGTTTTATTTACACTAATCTCCTTATCCTCCTACAACTATATAATATTATTATATCGACTTCTTCGTCATTGCCTTGACTTTCTAGAAAGACATTAATTTCTTTACTATACTCTTGTTACTTTCTACAGCACCTCGTTTTGTTACACCTTTGTTTAGCTACTGGGCAATTATCTTTTATTACAGCGATTTTTAGCCACCTCCTTAGATTGTTCTACTTTTTATGTGCCATATTAGAATTATCTGACGTTAGCGACCACCATTGCGAAGGTTTTTCAAGAAACCTGTTTTCTTCCTACACCTCTCCAAACTTCTATTTTGCATTTAAAAATCAGTTGTAGTATTTTATATTGATTTCCCTCATAAAGGGGGGAACAGTGGAATACTTGGGGCACATCATGAGAGGTGAAAAGTACGAACTACTAAGGAATATAATGCAAGGTAAAATTAAAGATAGAAGAAGTGTAGGAAAACGTAAAATCTCGTGGCTACGCAATCTCCGTGAATGGTTTGGATACAGTTCAATTGAACTATTCAGGCGCGTAACCAACAAAATTATAATTGCCAGAATGATTTCCATTCTCCGATAGGAGTGGAACTTGAAGAAGAATAATGTTGGGGATAAAATGCAACCTTCTTTGACTCCTCGTTATATGGAGACTTCGTTGGTGTAGTTGTCTCTTGTCAATTTTTATGATTCCAGTTTGATTCCAGTACAGATTATTAATGACACGAATATCTTTGTCATCTCTTAAACGATATCTATACTTTTTAGTATCTGCAATAATTTTATAAATAAATATAATAGATAAAGTCTTAGACACAGTGTCAACAATAATAATGGATGACGGACCAATATTTTGAGAAACTCCTAAAGGAAGATAAACCACAACTTAAAGACAGCAACGAAACACAAAATATAAATATTTTAACTTCGCCCATACGAATAACAACGAAAGAAGTGGAAATTTTAAAAATATAGAAGACATAGTATAATGCTCCGCGCTAGTCTACAATACCGCTTATTGTACCAATTTTTTATACACTTCATAGTTTAGTCGTAACAAAGCTGTGCAAAACCAGGGGTTTGCAACCTACAACATACAGGGTGCAACAAAACCAGAGGTTTGGTACACCCCGTGTATATAGATATATACCAAAAAATAAATGAAATAAGTCCACAATAAAAAAACTGAGAGCACAAACATCTACACAAATATCTATCGCTGAATTAAGTAGGACCCATTTGCTTCTTCGCGATGGGATGACGTGGAAGCTTATGCAGTACACTTTAGAAAAAATTTCAGTAAATATAAATGTAAATAACAAATAAAAATTCGTATTCCATCCAAAGTGGGTACCGATCAGAACGGTCTACAATAGATAAAATTATAGCAGTAGAATCTAAAATACACGAAGCTTTTATACATAAACAAAAATTAATAGCCATTTTCTATGACATTATAAAAGCATTTGACAACACGTGGATATATCACATCTTAAAAACAATGAAAAGTTGGAAAATAGATGGCAAATTCTTAGCCTTCACCAAAAACTTCCTGGAGAAGAAAAGTATAAAAGTTAAAACAAACGGTGTCATGTCAACTAAGAAATCACTGGAAAATGGTACCCCTCAAGGATCTGTATTAAGCCCCCTGCTGTTTTTAATAGCAATCAACAACGTATCTAACCATTTTATGCTTCCAGTAAAAGCAAACCTTTACGCCGATGATTTTGTAATATATATGAGAAGTAAAAACCTAAAATCAGCTGCATCAATATTACAAAATACACTAAATAAATTAGAAGGGTGGTCTTTAGATATAGGCTTGAGATTTTCAACCAAAAAAACTAAAGTAATAATATTTGACAAAAGGAAAACACAACACCACTTAAATTTAAAACTAAACGGAAATACTCTTATAACAATCAACGAAATCAAATTTTTGGGAATGACATTCGACTCTCAACTCAAATGGACATCGCACATAAATGAACTAATTAAATCATGCCAACAGAGAATAAATCTTCTAAAAGTTCTTTCCAATCACAAATGGGGCGCAGACACAACTATTCTTCTACGATTATGTCAAGCTTTAATTAGAAGCAAACTAGATTACGGATGTATATGCGACGAAACTGCTACTAAAAGTCAATTGAACAAACTGGACATCATCCAATCCACAGCATTACGTATAGTTTTCGGAGCTTTCAGAACCACGCCAATTAGCAGCTTTCAAGTCCTAGCAGAAGAACCGCCACTAGCTCTCAGAAGACAATATTTTTCGATGTGTTGTGCTACTAAATATCTCAGTGCAATTGAAAACCCGTTTATAACAAGCCTAATAAGGAGCAACCCTCCAAAACTGTACTCAAATTACTGCCCTAGAAACTTACCTTTCAATGAACGAATGAATCAATTTGAATTCGATATACATCAATTGAGAGCCACTTCTACAAATAGATGCCAGTATCCTCCCTGGAAAGTTCAAATACCAAAAGTAGATTTTACCTTATTTAACTATCCCAAACAATCACACAATCCTTCTGAAATAAAACAACAATTCCAGTCTACCATCTCCAGATACCCTGATTTCAAACTAATTTTTACTGATGCCTCTAAAAGCAGTAATGGTGTAGATGCTGCAGCTATTTTTGAAGACAACACCTCTGTTACCCGTCTAGCCAAGAAGTGTAGCATATACACTGGAGAACTACAAGCAATCTTCAATGCACAATGGTGTCAAGCAGATGTACCCCACTCATGCCAATTTAGAAACTAATAAAAGACATGCTATACATTGCCCAAACACGTGGTAAAAACATTAAATTTTTATGGGTACCATCCCATGTTGGAATAAAGGGTAAGGAAGCAGCTGATAAAGCAGCAACAGAAACTATCAATGACATGACAATTCCTATTATGCAAAACATACCAACCTCAGACCAAAAAACATTAATAAAAACTTACATTAACAAAACCTGGCAAGTAAAATGGAACCAAATAGAAGCAAAATTAACATTTATCAAACCAGACGTTACTTCTGCTATATTACCGCTCCCAGCTCAAAAACATAACCAAGTAATTATTAACAGACTGCGGCTAGGCCATACAAAATTTACACTTGGATATATCCTCTCCAAGGATCCTCAGCCGATTTGCCACACCTGTCAAACACCATTTTCAGTGCAACACATAATGATAGACTGTCCAGTGTACTCAACAGCAAGATCGACAGCAAAAATAAAACACAACTTAAAAGAAATTCTAAAAGAAGATATCAGTAATACAATAAAATTTATCAAAAATTGTCAACTGTATATCAAACTGTAACATAACATAATTTTGTATTTATTTTTGTATTTTTCAAAACTGTTATGTAAATTTTAATAACATACTAATGTAACTTTTCTAAAATAAAGATATACCACCCGCTAATAACCCTAGGGGTTGATGCGGTAAAAAAAAGAAAAAAATTCGTATTTACCATAAAATAATAGTTCCTGTGAGTTAACGCCTATCAATATAGGAACTCTATTGATCTGTCCGTTCTTTACTTTCTCGTGACTTAGACCAAGTATCAGACTACTGCTATCGTTATTAAACTCAATTACTGGAGACCACTGCATATCAACGTTAGGAAAGCAATTTGTATATTCGATTTTACGTGTCTGAAACGAAAAGTTAATAAAGCTTTTTGTGTACACAGCTGCTATTATTCTTTTTATAACAATCTCACTTCCTATGAATCACATGAATCGACAGATTCAGCTGATATCCTATAATTTTAGGCTTTAAAAGTAATCTTGTGGACATTCTGATATCAGAAATATATAAAATTATTATAAAATTATTATTTGAAAATACAGATGTCCACTTTTGGATCAAAAATGGGTAAATGTCCATGTTTGATCCAAATGTGATGGTATGTGTACGTTTTTGATGCAAAGAAAAATTGTATATGAAAGAGGGAACCCTCGGTTTGGACGTAACTTACAATTTAATGCTTATAACATTCATATAGGGAATCAGATATTTTAAATGAAAATTCCAATTTTAAAATCTTTTATTCAAGTTGCATTAGTACCTACCTACAAAGCAATTTAACTAAAAATATATATAAAGTAAAATATTTGAACTTATAAAAAAATATTTAAACTTAAGTAACATTCAAATGAGAAGACAAATGAGAAGCGATAAGAATGTAGATAGCAACACTTTAAGAAAAATGAACAAAACTGTTTCGAAAGCAATTAGAAGAGATTTAAGGAAATTTAATACCGATTATATTAAACCCACTATAGAGGAAAATAACAGCCTAAAAGATCTACGTAGAACGCTAACGAATGGGAAATGCGAAATTCATAAATTAAGAAACAAGCAAAGTGAAATAATATCACGTAGAGACGAGTTAATACAGGTCGTCGAAGAGTTTTACGAGGTCTTATATAGAAGTAGACGAGAAGATAAAACAGGAATACAAACAGCCATTTCAAAGAAGATCAAGAATCAAGGTTCCGAACTAATGCCAGAGATAAAGCTAGATGAGATTCGACAAGCATTAAGAAAAATGAAAAATGAACTTTGATGGTACACAAGGCAAATATCGAACACAGTATTTAATTAAATCTTGCCCAAGTACTTTCGATCACAAGATCATCTTCAGGGGCATTTCGTCAATTGTGGCCTATCCAGCAATAACCGAATGTCATAAATGTAAACTGGGACATAACAAATACACTAAACAAAGACAAACAAACACTTTAAAATTTAAATTGGAGAAGCTACATTTTTATATTATAGAAGCCGGAGACAGAATGACAGAATAACAGAAGCTACAGATATGATAAACGAATTGGATTTTGCATGTTCGAAGGTGTGCCTGAGAATGAACTTGACCAAAACTAGGTTTATGACAAATTTGGTCCCCAATAACCATTTGACTATTCAAGACGAAGTGGTAGAACTGGTGGAGAAATATAAGTATTTAGGTCATGAAATAAGAATCAGCAGGGATAACCAAACATGTGAGATCCAAAGACGAATTACTTTAACATGGGCAGCCTTTGGAAAACTGCGAGACACACTTAGGGCCAACATACCAATCAGCCTCAAAAGAAAAGTGTTTGACCAATGCATATTACCGGTCATGACCTATGGGGCGGAAACTATGACTTTAACCAAGACCACGGCTTCGAAACTGAGAGTGACACAGAGACGAATGGAACGGTCTATGCTGGGAGTGACGTTGAGGGACCGAATAAGAAACGAAGATCTGCGAAGAAGGACGAGTATTACTGATGTTGTGGAACGCATAGCGGAACTAAAATGGAACTGGGCAGGCCATGTAGCGAGAATGCACGATTCACGATGGATGAGCAAAATTACAAATTGGAGGCCAAGAGCAGACAAACGCAGTAGAGGAAGACCACCTACACGTTGGGCCGACGACATCAGGCGTATCACTAAAAATTGGCAACAAATAGCACAAAATCGTGAGGAATGGAGGGGTTTAAGGGAGGCCTATGTCCAGCAGTGGACGTGATAAATAGAGGCTGGATGATGATGATGATGAACATTCAAATTGAAATAAACACAAAATCACCATTAAAATCAGCATTATTATTTTCACACTCACATTAATCGTCACATTTAGCCGATATTTCAGGTTCTGCTTGCATTATGTTTTTGTACCACTTCAAAGTACCATTTTCGCTCCAATTTACTGCAAAATATTTTTCAAGCAATCCAATTTTGGTACGTAATTAACCTATTCTGCTATTTGGGGTCACACCAATACCAATTTCTTTTGGGTTGATCTGTCCAATAGTCTAGTTGGTCTTACAAATTTTTCTCTCTGCATCAGTGTCAAGGTTGTAGTCATCTTTCCTTTCACAACGGTGTTTCTCAATTTAGTTTTCCGAAGAACTATTCGTTGGCAGGTGGAAATTTTGAAATAGAGTTGAGCCGCTGTTTTGATAAAACTTTTCGCTTCTTATTTCCAGTCTAACGGTACCCAATCCCTTCCAATCAACTCAATCGTACCATATTTCTTAAACATTTCATGATATTCTTCTTCACAGTCACAATTGTGTTGACTTTTTTATTGTTTTCTCTACCATCCCAAATATTCTGTCGGATGAGTGCCTTGTTACATGAAAGACTATGTCAGTTTTTCGTATGCTTGTTAGGCACAGCTATTCAGAAACTTGCAGCACATAGTTAAAATATTTATATTCTTATTTAGTCCAGCGCAACCATCAGACACCGAACGAATAGAGTCATATCCTGAGAGATCAGCCAATCTCAACTCATTGAATACAATGGAAGCCATCTCGTGGGATGATTTTTTTTGCTTCGTCTCCTCGCAGGTGTTGGAAGAAGGGTTGAGCCTGTTTCTTGTGTAACTCCATTTTCATTTTTAGACACTTTTTTCTTCCTCCGTTTTTTCCACTTAGATAAGGTTTTTTGTAATTCTAGGCAAGTACTAGATTCATCATCCACGCTAGGTTAATCCCTAGTAAAACATCCCTGAGTAACCTTCTCAGGTTCTTCTTTACCATAATTGAACATTTTCCACATTTTGGCGATATTCAGGTCTGATAATAGGTAGACACGTGATGAGTGATGTCGTGAATAATTCGATTTAATAGCTTGAAAACTACAGATAAACTTTTTAACTGCTTCTCTTTTTGGAGCAAACTTAACTTCCTTGTGGTTTCCGCCTCAGGTTTCCACTGGGACATGAGATACACCATTATTGAATTTTCAGAACAGTCCTATACTTTTCTGCTTAGAACTAGGCTGCAACACCTTATGAAAAGCATCCTTGCATACGTTGAGATTGTTGCCAGCGTGATTTACAACCGAATATTGGAAGATTGTGGTTTTCCCCTTTATAGACTCAATCTTCTTTCTTTTGGGGTTCGGTGGAGGTTGGGGACACGATTTTTAAAATAAACTATGAATATTATGGGATAATTCTCGACTCTACATCGAATATTACTAACACAGAACATAAAATGTTTGCAATTAAGTGTGTGAATATTACTGAGATATATGAGAGATAATACTACAAGCTATATTGTCAGAAACTAAACGCAGTCAGCGCATTTGGTATGGCCATGATGAATGAAAGCAAAGGGAAAAAAATATATTTTTATTTTCTTTATAAATAAAATTACCGCCATCTTAAATGTTGCTTCCTGCAGATCTTTAAGTTTTGCAGACATCAGAACACTGAGTAACTCAGTAGATGAAGAACTGTCACTAATCTTGGAGTCTAGCATTGAACCTGAAAAAATTAATAAAATAAAATAATTATAATATATCTCTAGCTGCAAAAAGCGCCACCTCTAATTTTCCTTGTATTAGTTTGTATCTTGTAAATTCTTCTCTGACATTGATTAACACGTCTTCATTTAATTGTCGGCATCCTCTATTGTTTATCGTAAATCATCTAGAAATTTTGGTTGACTAGCATAAATTTTTGTTTTTAAATACCTTTATAAGAAAAAGTTGTCAAATCCGGTGATCTAGGTGGCCAATCCATCATCTGTCCTCTTCTATCTAGACAACGACCGAAAAACGTTTCCTTTAAAAATGATCGCAAAAGTAAAGCAAAGTGTGGTAGAGCTTCATCATGTTGAAATACAACCAAATATTCGGAAAGGTTATCATCATTTTATACTATTGTTTTAATACAATCAACCACTTGCCTAAGTAATTTAAGATACGATGCACCATTTAAGTTTCCAGTGATAAAAAAGGGTCCGATTATTTGATCACCTGGGATACCACACCATACGTTTAATCTTTGAGGATGCTGTATGTAAAATTCAAGTACAATATGTGGCTCACTTTCAGCCCAGAATCGGTAATTATGTCTATCCACCAAACCATTTTTTGAGAATGAGCATTCATCCGAAAAGCAAAAATTATTTACCAATTGTGGATTATTATTTCGCAAAATTCGAGACGACGATCAAAATCTTCTTCATTTAACTCTTCTAATAATTTAATTTTATATGGATAAAACTTAAATTTATAAAGGATTCGGAAGATGAAACACCAATTGCTCTGCTTATTGTTGACGGTGACTGTGATTGCTCAGTCTCTAAGTTAACTTGCGCTACAAGTAGCTGTTTTAGCAATTTAGTTCGTTATTTACAAGTTATTCATTTGTATATTGTTGGAAATGGACGCTATTGTTAACCCGTTGGGTACTTCAGTAATAGAATGCCCATAGCTTTTGGAAAAAAGAAATTTCTTGATGATATTTAATTCTAATAATAATGATCATAATAGGAATTTCAAAGTGGGAATCCGTTAAGGTGACTTTTTGTCCAGTATTTAAAAAATGTATTTAAATTTTACTTACCCAGTGTAAAAGCGAATTCTCGGGCATGCTTCTGCAAACTAAAGCAGTTTAAAGCAGAACCGCTCTCCAAAATGGCACCTCTAAAAAGTCCTATAATTAACACAAAGGTTAATATTATTATACTTAAAAATAAATCTTAATTTATTAAGACTATAGCTTAATATTATTATTCTTAAAATAAAGGTTAATATTATTATACTTAAAAACAATAAATCAATTTATTTGTATACAAAAAACTTAGTGAAGACACATAAATTAGTCAAAGATAATAGATAAGTAACGCTAGAACCTTAAATTATATATATATATATATATATATATATATATATATATATATATATATATATGTATATATATATATATATATAATATAAAATTAATGTTTCTTGGGTTTAGGTTCAATAAGGATATGTTACATGTGGAACTAGATTTTATTTTCCATTGCAATCAATCAACGTTTCGGCAGGAAACCCTTGCCTTTGTCAAGATTCTAAAATGTATATATATATATATATATATATATATATATATATATATATATATATATATGACTTACCAAAACGTAAAACGTGACACAGACATTAACGAACTGACATATAAAAGTTGATATCTGATATCTCATTGTTTACTGTCATTAGTATATAATTATTTTTATATGGGCGTATCGTTGATGTTTTCGAAAAAGGTATAAGAGTTTTTTATGATGTTATATTATTATTGTTTAAAGCAGATTGAAATATATTTTTTTTTACTTTTTGTGTGTCTTTTTTGTCATTTATTGCGTTGGTGTTTCTTTTTATTTCTATTGATTCGTATATCTCCCTCTTCTTTTTGTTTTTTTCTGTTTTTAAAATTTTGGTGTTTTCAAAATCAAATTTATGCTTCTTCCCGCTTTCATGTTTTGTGAGCGCAGTGACGTTGTTATTGTCGTATTTGTGAGAACGAATTCTGGATTGAAGCAGTTGACTGGTTTGACCGATATAGACACCTTCACAGTTAGTACATGGTATCTCGTAAACAACATGTGATTTTTTAAGTTTTGGAGTTTGTGTATTTAGTTTTGTGAAATATTTATTAAAGAGGTTGTTGCCTTTGTGGGCCACTATTATATTATGTTTGGCTAAAAGATTTGTTAGTTGTTCGGATAAACCTTTTATATATGGAAGAGTTGTATAAGTGGTTTTGATACTGTTGGGTTTGTTGTTAGTTGTATTGTTATAAAATTTATTGAGTCTTGATTTGAAAATAGTTTCGATTAGATGTTCGGGATATGCATTCTTTAGGAGGGCATCTGTTAGTTTTATAGATTTATCAGCGAGACTTATAATTACAGACTTCTTATGGGAAAATGGATGATGGGAATTGTAGTTAAGATATCGTGAAGACCATGTTTTTTTTGTAAACCACATGGTTTTAACTGTATCTGTTAATGCGATGTAAGGTGATATCCAGAAAGTTTATTTTATTATTTTGTTTAATTTCTAAAGTGAACTTTTTTTGGATGGTTGATTAACTTTCATTTTAGATATTTTCGTATATATATATATATATATATATATATATATATATATATATATATATATATATATATATATATATATGTATTTCACCTCACCTGGTTCTCTTGTGTTAAGAATGTGGTAACCAGTAGACACAGCTCCAGCACTTTGTCCTCCAAGGGTCACCTTGTTTGGATCTCCTCCAAAACTGGCAATATTTTTCTTAACCCACTTGATGGCTAAAAGTTGATCTTTAAGTCCCAGATTTTTAGGTATGACATCATCTTCAGTGGAAATAAATCCTGCAAATCAAGCAAAAGATAAGAAGAAAAATGAACGATAAATATTAGTGGCTCTTGTAGCGAATAACTCTTATATGGAAAATCAAGTGAAAGCAGAGCTTAATAGAAAATACTGGAACAAAGTAAAGCTTCAGATGAATTGTAGAGCTAAGGGCGATGATGCTTGATTACTTGTAAACTAAATTAAAAAAAAAATTGAATTATTTTTCATTTCTTTTTTAATACTAATTTTGATTTCTATAATTTAAAGGAAGTTTACCTAATGGTCCCAATCTGTAATTCATCGTTACAACGACGACACCTTTATCAATATAATAATCTGGGCCGTAGACGTCTTTAATTCCAGAAAAAATCGTAAAAGCTCCTCCATGGATCCACACGAACACAGGAAGCTGGGTACATGTGCGTTGGGGATCCTAAAAGGTTAAATTTTTACAACAATTTTTATTTTTGCGTTAAACGTAATTAATGGAAAAAAGAAAGGAATATTTTTCCTCGTTTTTAACAATGTAATTACTAATAAAGGAGTTTTTTTTCATTGTATGTGGTTGTCTTTTTAAAAGCAAAGCACATGCAATGGTTTTTCTCACGGATGTTCTTAAGGTAAAGTTGATTTCATATAATCGAATAAACTATTTTTAAATATATTCTACTAAAAATATTGACAATAGAATTTAAAAGTAAAATTTAAACATTTAGGGCGAAATTAATAACAGCTTAGAAGTTATATAGGGGCAGACGTGGATTCCGATCACATACTAATGATCACGAAATTAAGGGAAACTATTTCAATGGTAAGAGAATAGAGAATATCGTATAAAAGGAACAAAGACACCACTGAAACCTTCCAGACAACGCGGAAGAAAAACTGCTTCAAAGCGAAAACCAAGGTGACATCTAAATGGAATGGGGAATAATAGAAAAAGCTATGAAGGAACAGCTCAAAAGCGGTTAGATCGAGCAACAAGACTAAAATATACGGACAAACCAAGTGACGAAAATAGAAATGAATATGAAGCAGAGAGAAAACATGCGAAAAAAGTGAGTAATAAGTAGAAAAGGGAGCATATCGATAAAAAGCTCCAAGAGATTGGAGAACATTATATTAAAAAAAATGTGAGTAACTTCTACTGCGAGACGAAAAGACTCCGTGACCAAAGCGCAAGAAACCAGATTTTACTACAAGAGTAAAGAAGGATACCTAATTGGAGATAAGTAGGAGAAACTAGATAGATGGCAGGAGCATTTTAGAGAGTTACTTAATGAAGAACCAGATGGAAATAATAAGGAGTACGTGAAAATGCTAGGGGAATTAAACGACACTGCGGAAACAATGAAGACTCTTCGTGACAGAAATAAGAGAAATTATATATAGCATGAAAAGCAATAAAAGTGCAGACAGTAATGGTATTCCTGTAAAAATGATCAAGCCTGCTGTCGAAAATCTGGAAGCGAGAGAAAATGTCAGAAGTATGGAGAGAGGCACTAGTATGTCCCATTCATAAGAAACGATATAAAGCAGTGTGTTAAACATACAGAGGTATCACTCTTTTGGATGTAACGTATAAAGTACTCGGCAGAGTCATAAGAAGTAGACTGGAAAGGCATTTAACGAGTAGGTTTGTGAATACCAGGAAGGATTCAAAGAAGGCAGATTTGTAATAAATTATATCTTGGTGCTAAAATGATTCATAGCTGTACGTACCAGCAACTGTTAAAGCTAAATCTCCTCTTTATAGATTTTAAACAAACTTATGTTCTATGATAAGAAGGCGTCTGTACTATGTCCTAAGAGAAATACTTGAAATTTCTCAAAAGGTGATCAAACTAGTAAAAATGACCCTAATAAAGAACGATAATGGAGTAAGGATTGAAGGAAGCCTAACAGGAAAATTAATTCCTTGCTGGTAAAAATAATGAGAGAGAGAGAGAGAGAGAGAGAGGGAGTGGAATACCAACGAAAGGTATGATTTATGATAACAGAAGCCAAGTTCTGGACTTTTCGGATGATGTACTGTTAATATCAAGATTTAAAGGGGAACTGCTGAGGATTTTCAAACTCTCTCACAGTATGGAGTGATTGTTAATGAGCAGAAAACAAAGTATATGAAAGTGGAGCAGACCACATACGAATACACACAGCTGAAAACTACCACAAACAATGAGAGAAAAGAGTATGGCTTCACAAAATGTGACGGAGTTTGAGTATCTATGAGTAAACCTAACAAGTAAAGGGGAAGAAAGATAAGAAATTGAGAAGCGAATTTCGAGATGATGGAAGACAGTCAGAGCATTACATAAAGTTCTAAGGGCACAAAACATCTAGAGAGACGCAAAATTAAGACTATGCCAAACAGTCATCTAATACATGGTCCTGTACGGAAGCGAAACCTGGATTATGAAACAAAAATCTTGAAAATATGCTGAACATTTGGGAATGGAGTGTTTTAAGATATTCGGGAGAGTAAAAGACTATAAAAACCTTTATTAACCACAGATCGTTAGGACAAAGAGACTTAGATGACTATGCCATCTTATGAGAATGACAGACGGGAGGTGGGCAAAGGACTCGTTGCTGAGAGGAGAAGATGAAGGATATAGAAGAAGATGGAGGAAAACAGTGGAAAAATTTCCAGCTATGGGCCTCTAGAGCCTATTCAAACAGCATTAAATCCAGCTAAAATTACATTACAGATTATCTGCTAAAATTTCAGATCCTCCAAAATGGGAGTTTTGGAGTAAGAATTTAGCATCCTGGTAAAAACAAAATAGCATGATGAAAAATCAAAATATAGTTCCCCGGGTGATAATCTACACCTCCAACGGAGGGAGGCCTATCGGATAGGGTGGACAATTCTGCTTTTAGTAAGAGAAATCCAGTCTTAAATTTCAACCAATGTCGAAAACAGAAACAGAGATTAGAGGAAGAAAAATCGTGTGTCACTTGAAACATCCAAGGATGACAAACTGAAGACAGAGGTGATAGAAGAATTTAAGAGGATGACATTTTGGTCCACTGAAACTAAGAAAAAAGGAAATGGTATACCATTTATAGATTACATCGTCTACTGTTGGAGAGGAACAAAAAGGAAGAAAGAGTAGTGACCGGAATTGAAATTCTAGTCAAGAAAAAAATTGGTAAAACAATACAATCATTGCAAACGATAAATGAACGAGTAGGTAAACTCATCATGAAAATATATGGCAGGTGGGATCATATGGCCCCCATATATAAGAGATCGAAAAAGTGAAACCAAAACAAGAAATATTAATAGTGGGGGACCTAAATACAAAGAAAAAAAAAATATTAAGGAAAAGAAAATTGATGGATTCGACCGTTACTTGATGGAAATTCATTTTATGTAACAATAAAACACTAAAAACTTTGTTTTCAAACTTCTACAAAATTTATTTGAACTATTATCACTACAGCTGTTTCGGCTGATTGCCTTTCTCACGTGATCTATTTTTGGCATGCGTTTACAATTTATAGTCTTTAATGAAATAGGTTGAGGAGGGGAGAATTGTTTGTCTCAAGTTGGTCATTCAGAATTATATCTGTGTTTTTTAATTTGTTGATTTCCATAGATTCTAACAAAGATAGCTTAAGGCCTTTATTTTGAATGTGAAGAATTTTAAATTTGTCATTAAAAGAATGATTAGGATCTAGAAGGTGAAGTGCGTATGTCGAATCTGTTTTTCTATTATTGAAAGCCCTTTCATGTTCTGCTATTCGTTTATTAAAGTTTCTACCAGTTTGACCGATGTAAGTTTTTGCGCAGTCGCCACATTGAAGTTTGTACACACCACTATTTAAGTATTTTTTATTTTGGCTCTCGTTATTTTTAATATATTTGCCTAGGTTGTTATTTGTTCGGAAAGCTGGTGTTATTCCTTTCTTTTTTATGTGTTTTACTATTTTTGTTGTTATTTTGCCTGTATATGTAATCGAACAGAAGGTGCTGGGTTTTTTCTCTGGTGGTGGAAATACTAATTTCAGGGCTTTCTTGTGTAGTTTTTGATTTAACATTTTATTAATTGTTTGTTCGTTGTATCCGTTGTTTACTGCTATTTGCTTAATTATATTTAATTCTGTCTCAAAATTGCATTTTGACATCGAAATTTCTGTTAATCTATGTAACATACTATGATAAGCTGCCAGTTTATGTTGTGTTGGATGGGATGATGAATTGTGTATAGTCGTGTCAGTATGTGTAGGTTTATGAAATATGGAGAAGTCATGTTTGTTTTTAAGTCTGATAATTTTTATATCTAATAAATTTATGGATTGATTTTGTTCTGTTTCTATTGTAAATTCAATATGACTATGAAGTGAATTAATATACGATAAAAATTGGTTGAGTTGCCTGTTAGTTCCTGTGAAACATACCAGTACGTCGTCTACGTATCTCCACCAATATAGAAATTGTTTGAATACGGGATGTTTTGAAATTTTTGTCTCTAGATGGTCCATAAAAATATCTGATAGTAATGGGCTTAGAGGATTGCCCATTATAAGTCCTGCACTGTTATTTGTATATATTTGATCATTAAATTCAAAGTAGTCCTGGTTTATGCAAACTTAAAGAAGATGTAAAATTTCAGATGTAATTATTGGATTTGTACTATTTTGGTCTAAAAGGTTTTTTACTAGAATAAAAGTTTCTGTAGGAGGGATACTAGGAAAAAGATTTTTTACGTCAAATGAAATTAATCTGGAGTTGTTAGGTAATTGAAAATGTTGTATTTTATTAACTCGTTCTATTGTATTTTTTATGGTAAATTTAGGTGACAATTTAGTGTGTTTTAAAATAATCTCTAACAGTTCTTTTGAAAGTTTATATGATGGAGCTGTATAAAAAGAAACTACAGGTCATATTTGGTGATCCGATTTGTGTAGTTTAATGAAAGAGTATAATTTAGGAGGTTGTGGGTTCATGATATTAAGGTATTTCTGTTCTATTGGATTTATTGATTTTGAATTTTCTAATGCTAGCTTAATTTGTTTTTGATATTTTTCTGTCGGATCTTTGTGTAAAGTTTCAATATTTTGATTATTTAAGAATTCTATTGTTTTGTTATTATATTCTATTTTATCTATAGCAATAGTAGTGTTCTCTTTGTCTGCTTTTGTAAACACAATGTTGTTTTCTATTGATTTATTTTTAATTGAAATTGCTGTTTTATTCTCTTTGTAACACGAATTCTTATTTTTACTACACACATCTGTAATAGATTTAGCAATTATACTTTTTTCGATATTGTTAGCAGTTTTGTTACTACTACTTCACATTCTACACCTAAATATTCTAAAGTTCTCTCATTATTATGTTGAGGCAAGTTGTGTTTAAACCCTTTCTCTAAAAGTTGTATCTCGCTATTACTTAATTTAGTATCTGTTAAATTTATAAATCTATTGAAAAAAGTATGGTTCGAAAAACTTTTTGTATAATGAATATTGGGTTTTTTACTATTGAAAATTAGATTATTTAGTTTTTTACACTGTGTATTGAATTTTTTATCTATTATATTATTTATATTAATTTTCACGTTAGAATCTAGGATGTCAAATTCTATATTATTTAATCTTTAATTTAATTCTGAATGACATACCTTAAGATAAACAGATATACTATCTCGCTTCTTGTATTGGTATTTTCTGTCTTGTTTGAGCCATCATTAAATTTACAATAGAAACAGAACAAAATCAATCCATAAAGTTTTTAGATATAAAAATTATCAGACTTAAAAACAAACATGACTTCTCCATATTTCATAAACCTACACATACTGACACGACTATACACAATTCATCATCCCATCCAACACAACATAAACTGGCAGCTTATCATAGTATGTTACATAGATTAACAGAAATTCCAATGTCAAAATGCAATTTTGAGACAGAATTAAATATAATTAAGCAAATAGCAGTAAACAACGGATATAACGAACAAACAATTAATAAAATGTTAAAAAATACACAAGAAAGCCCTGAAATTAGTATTTCCACCACCAGAGAAAAAACTTAGCACCTTCTTCTCGATTACATATACAGGCAAAATTACAACAAAAATAGCCAAACACATAAAAAAGAAAGGAATAACACCAGCTTTCCGAACAAATAACAACCTAGGCAAATATATTAAAAATAACAAGAGCCAAAATAAAAAACACTTAAATAGTGGTGTGTACAAACTTCAATGTGGCGACTGCCCAAAAACTTACATCGATCAAACTGGTAGAAACTTTAATAAACGAATAGCAGAACATAAAAGGGCTTTCAATAATAGAAAAACAGATTCGACATACGCATCTCACCTTCTAGATCATAATCATTCTTTTAATGACAAATTTAAAATTCTTCACATTCAAAATAAAGGCCTTAAGCTATCTTTGTTAGAATCTATGGAAATCAACAAATTAAAAAACACAGATATAATTCTGAATGACTAGCTTGAGACAAACAATTCTCCCCTCCTCAACCTTGTAAACGCATGCCAAAAATAGATCACTTGAGAAAGGCAATCAGTCGAAACAGCTGTAGTGATAATAGTTAAAATAAATTTTGTGGAAGTTTGAAAAGAAAATTATGTACATAAAAAGTATAAACACCTAATGTTCAGAAGAGATACAGAAGTATACATGATTTATGTATGTATACATATACAGAGGTATACGATGATTCATCACCATTCTGGACTTTTGGAGACAAGTTCTAACTTTTTTCTCACTATTTTTGATTTGCTGTAAAATGCCAGAGCTAAGATATTGTCATATATTCTTCTCTTAGGAAAATATGATGACAATTAATTGTTTTGATTTCTTTTTGCACTCCAATAACAAAATTTCTTGAATTAAATATTATCATGGAAGCAGAAAAATAGACAGCAGCATGGAAATATACAAAATTAAAAGTGTCTGTGTCAAACATGTAGAATTTATTATTTTTGTATTTAATATTAGTAATATTTCTTAAGATATCCTTTAAGGGATCTTTTAAGGGATCTTTAATGCAGTGGTTCCTCCTTGCCTTCTGCATCCTTATGCCGTTGACCATTTATGGTTCATCCGCCTTTGAAACTGATTTGCCATTCTCAGGATAAGTAGCACCCTTTCACTTACCAGTTTATCTGCCCGAAGCCGTTGACCATCATGCAAGGAAGAGTAGATGAAGGAAAAGGCTTGGAAAAAAAAAAATCTTGGCTAATTAATATCAGAGATTGGACTAACCTCAGTATTGAACAGATATTTCACGATGCAAAAGGTAGGGAATCGTTTAAAGCAGTAATCGTCAACATCCGCTAGAAGACAGCAAAATAGGAAGAAGAAGTATTTAATAGATTAAGATCATCATTGAATGAAGAAAATAAAGAGTTTTTACTTTTACACTACAAGAAATTGTAGCAATATCTAGCTTGATACCAGAAACGAAAGTCCATTTAACAAAACGTACGCCATCTTCAAGGAATGGCATGTTTGAAATATTGCAAACTTAATTTGAGGGCTTGTCATTTTACTTAATGAATAAATCTATGTTCAATGATTCAATCTGTGTTGGGAATACACCATGACCAAACAACGAGCATTTTAAAACAGAAAATCTAAAGGATTTGAAGCAACGAATTCTTCTACACAAAAGATCGACGTATTCTAACTTCAGAACTGAATTTGATTGTAGTATTTATTAATATTTTAATATATTTATGATATTTACCACAGGGGTGTAAACATTTAATACAAGACAGTCTTCGTTTTCTTTTTTATCCTCATGACCCTCTTGAAACTGTGGGCAAATTTTTAAATTATCGGTAGCGTTTAATACTTTCGTCCATTTTTCTGGGGGAGTAGGTTCCTAAAAAACAAAAGTTAACATGTACATAAGATGAAGGTAGGTCTAATGTAACAATATGTTCAATGGAAAACGTTGTCAATCAAACTTTTAGTTTGAGTATATAAAGTTTCCGTAACCGTATAATTATTTTTTTGACATTTTGACAAATAATGTGTTGTATTGAGATTTACAAGAAAAATGAAATTCCTGTAGTTAGCTATACACCATGAATCATATAAACTTTTATTTAAAAAGTCTTATATAAAGGTTATATATTCTAAAAAATACCCTTTCGGGCTATATCACTGAACGTCATCATCATTGCAGTTACCTAAAATAAGTATCAATATTTTAATGAAAGCAAATATAAATATTATGCAAGGTTAAATAATATGTGGTTGAACACTTACAAGGTATTTGCGTTCTCAAACGACTATGAGCGGCAGCACTTGTTTTGAAAGATGGCGGACGAAATAGGGATGTCGTTTGTTCACATTGTAAATTTGATAAGGAATTTTAAAAGACATTTAAGTTGAAGGGCAGCAATTTTAGATTCCAACCATATGTTATATTTACAACATAACTTGTGGAATATTATCATGTACTGAAAAAACTGCAGTGATACAAGCATTGTGCCTTAAAACGAACAGTTTGAGTGGAGTACCCCACCAAATGAAAACATATAATGGACACATTACTACACACACACACACACATATATATATATATATATATATATATATATATATATATATATATATATATTATATATATATATATATATATATATATATATATATATATATATTTATATATTTCGGTATAAAAACAACAAACCATTTTGTTATAATTTCAGTCATTGCTGATACATGGGTTAATGACATTGTACTAGAATATGATTTAGCTATATTTTATACAAATAATGTTGATGTAAGCTACAGTAATTCTGTTGAAATGTGTTTAGCTACGCTAAACCAAACTGCTCCTGCAAAACTATTTATTTTGCAGGAATTTTATATTTGTCAAAATAGAAATAGTTGAGAGTGATGAGAGTGATCCCATTAAAATAACTATGCTAAACAGGCCGGTTGGAAGAAGAAGAAGGGGGCGACCTAAACTCAGATATCTGGACGATGTACAGGAAGATCTGAGAGATATTGGAGTGAGGGGCTGGAGAAGACAGACACTCGATAGGGAAGGATGGAAGAATGTTTTGAAGCAGGCCAAGGCTCACGAAGGGCTGTAGCGCCAACTGATGATGAAATAGTTAAAATACACCACATGCATTTAATGGATTTGACTTTTAACAACATTGTTTGTAAATCTTATTACATTGTTGACAAATAACTAAACTAATACTAATACTATTATAGAAGTAACCAAAAATAATTGAAACGTTCCCGATACCGTTTTGTTTTCCTTAAAATTGTTTACGTGTTATGGTAGTTAATACATTAATAACGATATTATATAAGTGAACTATTACATTTATCAGTCAAAATGCAAAAAACCTTTATAATTGTAATAAATACAAATTCGAATACTTACTTTTAAACGAAGGTCACCAGTAGGTGGTTTTGCATATGGAATGTCTTGGAACGCATAGTACACATTATTTCTATCAGTTTTTAGAATTCTTCCACGTATTGGCCCATCAGCGATTCTTATTTCTTTATATAATGTCTGAAAAAATAATATTTTTAAATGTTCGTTTACCAAGATTTACCAAGAATCCGTGTGACTTATTACGAATGTGACTGATTTACCAAGAATTCGTGACCTTCCAATAATAATACTGGCTGGACCCTGGTCTTCCTAGCCTGTTAATGTTGCGATTCCGAACACCCGTCCGTTAGTCTTCTCTTACGGGGCGGAAAGGTGAACGCAGGCAGAGGAATTCCACTGCGCACGTAGACAGGCCGCTGCCGAGGATATCTCCTCTCCTACTCTTAAATCTCCCAGATCGTGCCGAGACACCGGCGCCCCTAATGGTGGTGCGGACTGAAACAGGTGCTTACAAGGTCAGCTCGTTCAACCTCACCTGGTTCTTGGAATGAGAGTAGAGAGGTCCTTCGAGAGTCTCGTCTCGGATACTAGGAGTGTAGACTGGTGACCGTGACCGTGACGCCAAAGCATCCCGAGTGCGTTTCTACAAACCCGACACCTCAAGCGACGGCTCTCCACCTCTCGATTCCTTCCCATTAGTCGCCTCTTACGACAGGCAGGATATATTGGCCTCGGTCGTATTCTTATCTCCGCGAGCCGAACAGAAAGTGTTAATCACAGGAGAGAGTGCTACACAGCAGATAAAGCAGCAGTAAAAATATTTCCACAGGAGCTAGCGAAAATTATTTAAGATGCGGACTATTGTGCCGATCAAGTATTTAACACTGATGAAACGGGACTGTATTTGAGAAAAAATGCCTAACCGTACTTACCACAAAGGATGAAAAAACTGTAAGTGGACATAAAGCAAGTAAAGATCGAGTACCATATTATCACGTGCTTTAAAAGGCAAATATTTACTTTACAAGTAAAACAAGAAAAAGCAGTTGATGTTAGAAAATTGATAGAAAAATATTGTGATTTAAACTAAAAGAGCATTGAAGAATTAACCTATTTTAAACACGTTTTCGAACGAGACAACTTTGAAAAATATCTACCTGCAGACGAAGTTGCACAGAGTTTGTTAAACAAAATGGACCAAATCAAGTTAAGTCTGCTGTGTTATTGTCCTAAAATACCTAATAGTGGTTAGAGCAGCTCGAGTTACAAGTAAAATTGAAGATCCTGAAATTGCTTTGTGTGGGTATAAGGTGACATGTTGCGTTCTGCACATACGATGACCTCAATATAACAATTGAGGTCATCCTGAAGGGGGAGAGATATTCTGTTCAATCTTGAACTCGCTGGTTTCCCCCTTTCGAAATGAGTATGTATATTCAAATAAAAGAAAATTAAACATAAATATACATACACCAAATATACCATTATAATTAAAGAAGAATATACAAACTTAAAATTACGCAATACGAAATGACAAAAGACAACCATAAAACCAACCAAAACAAAAATTTCGATTCTATAAAAAACCACTGACAAAACAAAAGACCAAACCTACCATAGGCGCAAACATACTATACATAAAAAGATAAAAGCCAAATTAATAATCTTACCAAAAAAATCGATCTAAATAAGGATATAATATTTTAACGTTGTAAAAACAAATTAAGAATGCGGTGCATTACAAACAATTAATAAGTACAATTATTAAAACAAAACATACAAGAAATAAAACGGTGTTAACAAAATACAAAAATAATAATATAGTAAATAAACCGAAACAAATTCAAAATGTCCAATTGACAATGTTCAATCGCAATCGCGACACAAATGCGATGAAGTTCCAAACGAATATTAAATAAATATACCAAGTGCACGTACTTGATATATGCAGCAACAAATTAATATGGTGTATTGTTCCTTACCCCATGAAAAAAACGCTATCGCAAAATTATGTATTCAGCGACACTTTACTTCCAAGCAAAGAATAGGATTGGGACTAAGGGTAGCTTTTCATTAAATGTTTCACTTACTCTAAACTGCAATGTTCTGTATATTGTTTGTGATATGTTTTTTTTTTCCGGATATTTGGCATTTTTGATTTTAAAAATAAAAATTATTTATGGGTAATAATGTTAGCTACAATATAGACGTTCAAAATTTGATTGAATATGCCCACATTAGCACTAATTTTATAACAAAACAAGTATTTATTATATTAACAACATTTTATAATAAAACAATTGTAGTTTTATAAATACATTTCCAGACAAAAAATAAATTCTTATTACACATTACAGTTATTGGCCACCCTGCGGTTTACTGATTGGCAATCGGCCAACCACTGGATATTGCCTTAAAAAATAAGAAAAAATGTTTAAAATATTTTATCTTCGACCAAACTAGGCTAAAAAAGTTTAAATTATAATAAATATTTTAATCCAAAGTAGGTACAGTAATTGGCCGGCAGGCCAATCATTATAACAGGGACATATTTAAGCTACAGTGCTCGGCCACTCAAATTTACCGCCAAACTTACTTTATCGTGTCCGGACATGTCATTCATAAAATTTTGGCCCAGTATCGGGCTACGTCGGTTTCATTTTTGTTGGCGAGCCACAAATCTTCAAGGGTACATCGATGAGGACAGTTTCTGCATGTAAGAAGATGTTCCATATTCTGTGTTTCTCCACAGTCACAGTTCACATCATCTTGGTCTATTTTTCCCCATTTTGCCATGTTTGATTTTACTGTAGCAACCCCCGTTCTTATCCTATTCAAGGTTTTCCACGTTTTAAAGTCTAGGGTCTGGCCGGTCCATTGAACCTGGGGAAGTGGAAAATACTCAGGCGGTTCATCCTGCACTGTTCCAAGGAAGCTTTTCCTAGATTTTAGTCGCTTTCGTGGTGTTCGAGCTTTGTATAGGGCATGCCGATCGTCTGCGATCTGTTTAATTTTCTCTATGTGTTCTGCAGCGCCTCTGCGTGTTGAGAGTTCTGCAAAACCCGCTGCTCTATATATATTTGAAAGTGGCGTTGGTTTTATGAACCCCGTTACTATCCTGCATGTCTCATTTAGCGCAGTATCAACTTGTTTGGTGTGGGCAGATCTGCTAAAAACGGGGCACGCATATTCAGCAGTTGAGAAACACAGTGCCTGTGCCGTTGTTCTTAAAACGCCAGGACGTGCGCCCCATTTACTTCCCGTTAGCTTTCTGAGTATGCTGTTCCTAGTTGTTACTTTCCCTCTTGTTTTTATGCAATGTTGTCTGTAGGTGAGGGACCGGTCCAGAGTTACTCCAAATATAGGTTGATTTGTCTGTTCTAATGCATTACCATTCCACACAATTTGGAGTTTTCGCTTGGCTTCCTTTGTGCGAAGGTGGAAAGCGCAGACTTGGGTTTTAGAGGGATTGGGTCTCAGAGAATTTTGCAGGTAGTACGCTGTCATTGTTTTTAAGGCAGTTTCGAGTTTCTCCTCCACTTCTTCAAAACTATTTCCTTGAGCACATATTGCAAAATCGTCAGCATAGAGGAAGTGCTTGGTTTCGGTCGGAGTAGGTTGGTCGTTTGTTTATATATTGAAGAGCATTGGTGCTAAAATACTTCCCTGTGGGAGGAGGTTTTTTTGAACTCTCCACCTACTTACTTTACCCTCCAGCATAACGAAAAAACGTCTATTTTGCAGTAAGGAATATACGACCTTTCCCAGATGGTGGTCATTGAGAGTGTCGTATAATTTACGGAGCAATGTTTTGTGCCTTACTGTGTCATAGGCTGCTGTCAGATCTACAAAAGCAGCCCCTGTTATAAGTTTTTCTTCAAAGTCCTCTTCAACGTGTTCTGTTACCGGTGCAAGATTTGCCAGATCTGAATCCACCTTGTTGTGGGATGAGGTGCTTGTTGACATTTTTTTCTATTCTGGCGAGTATGAGTCTCTCGTATAGTTTAAAAGAGTGACACAATAGCGAAATAGGTCTGTAGCTACTGGGGTCTTCTGGATCCTTTCCTGGTTTTAACAAGGCTATTACTTTAGATTTCCTCCATGATTTTGGAATTTTGCAGGATTTGCAGAACGTGTTATAAAATTGCAAGATCCAGTTTTTTGCTCCTTGGCCTAAATGCTTTATTTGTTCACTGCATATATCATCCACACCTGCAGCTTTCACGTTTTTTAACCTGTTCAGACCGTCGTGGAGTTCTTTTAGTGTAAAAGGAGTTCCTAGGTGGTTTGTCTCCGAATCCAATCTTCTCCTAGTGTTTGGGTCCTTATATCGGTTAGTAGTTCTTCCATTCGTAAGGAGTTGAGTAGCGACTTGGTTTGCTGTAACCTTGCAAGGTGGTTTATGTTCTTTTGGATCACCATTGAGTTTTTTTTACAAGGTTCCATGCTATTTTGCTACTATGTGTCATGTCCATTTTTTCCAGGGTCTCAATCCACTTTTCCTGTCTGGCTTGACTTAGCTGTTGGAGTAGTACTGCTCCGCAGTCAACCGTTTCTTGGCTAAAAGGGTCAGTGGAAGAGAGGGTTTCGTATGTTCTCATTAGTTCTTTGGACTCGCTGGACATCCCGGGAACATATTGTTGTCTACATCCTCTAGGGATAGTTTTTCTAGACACATTTTTGAGTACCTCTACGAATTTTTCGTAGTTCTCTACTTTTGGTTCAAGGCGTAGTAGTTCAAAATCTAGCATGTCTGCATACTTCTGCCAGTTTGCCTTTTTGAAGTTAAATCTCCTTCTGAATGGAATAGCTTGTGGTCTGACAATTGGACCGCCAAAAATGCATAACATAACTATTAAAACCACTAATGATGTAAAATGTACCCCACTTAATCGCCATAAAACCATAATATACCCAGATACATAATACTATTAGCCAAGATAACTCACCTCGTGAATAGCCTTCCTTAACAAATTCTTTAAAAAACTCTTAAAACTGGATGCACCTGTTAAGGTTCAAACAACGCACGACGTAACAACTAGATAATATCAACTGAGAGAGATGATAGCTAGACTAAATATAAAGTAATTTTGCCAAATTTAAATGCAATTAAATTTATTTCGTTCTAGTTTCTGAAAATCTTAATATTTCGGATTTTTGTGAAAGTGGCCAATCACTAGTGACCGGCCAACAACTGTACCCGTTACCCTATGTTAATTATTAATACTGAAGTTATCACCAAGCTATTTCTGCAAAAATCCGAATGGATTTTTGCAGAAACTCTTACATCCCAATGCTTTCACATTCAAATTTGGTCAATTTTTTACATACCCGCCCTGGTCTAGTAATAATTGTGTCACATTTAGGCAGCTAATAATTTTATTGATCTGAAAAAACATTTATTCGGAAACTTTTTTTGTAAACCTCATTAGGAACCTATATTTCCAGTGACGGTACTTGTTAAATGCAATGAATAGAAATTTAGGTAATTATTAATTACTAATTACTACCTCGTTCCTTCTTGTTTTGCCAATTAACAGAACTGGCGTCTATTAACATTTATCATTGTTTGGACTGTATAAACATTAATTAGTCACATTATTTTTATCTAACAATAATATGCAAAAATATATGACCCTGGCGAATGTATGGCCATGAATTATGGTAAAAAATGACAAAAAAAATCATGAAAAATAGAAAAGACTAAGAAACAAACTTTTATATATTTCTTAATATATAGAAAACCTTAACAAAGAGAAAGAATTCAGAGATTTCTATAAGAAAATTAACATCAACATAAAATAATTCAAGGCAACCACAAGTCAATGCAGAAGTCAGAATGGCGACCTATTAACAACAAGGAGAGATGTATTAAATAAATGGGTGGAATACTTTAACCGGGTACTTAATATAGAGGAAGAAGAAGAAGCAAACCTGGAGGAAAAAAAAGAGCTAAAGGGCACAAAGAAGGAAGAAGAACCACCAACAATTCATAAAGTTAAAGACGAAGTTAAAAGCTAGCCAGAAACAAATCACCCGGAATAGATAATCTTCTAGCTGAACTATAAAAAAATGTGACCACGATACCAGAATGACATTACAGCAACTTATAAAAGTAATATGAACGCAGAAATCCCTCACGAATGATTGGAATATTGGAATACTTTGCACCATACACAAAAAAAAAAGAAGATATCTTTGAATGCTCTAACCACAGAGGAATTACGATTCTAAATGGCACCATATGCAGAACGTATAGTAGAAAAATACCAGGCTGGTTTCAGAGGTGGTAAATTGACAATTCATCAGATTGCAACCCTGAAACATGTTTTAGAAAAAAACACTGGAATATGGCTTTGATACTCATGTGATACTTTGTCAATAGGAGAGAAGTGTTCAAAGCAATAAAAAAGCTAGGAATACCAAAACAGTTGTTCTTCTTCTTAAGGTACCTTCTCTATTACTGAAGGTTCGCTATAACTACAGCAAATTGCTCTCTATCTTGAGCTGTTCTTAGTATCGACTGTGTGTCCATGCCTGTCCTTCTTTAAGTTCCATCTTCTATCGAAGGTTGTCGATTCAACTGACAAGTACCACGTGCTAATATTCGAGCAGGGAGACATGTAGTCCCTAAAGTAGTTTTAAAAATATATCCATTGTCATCGACCGGGAGTCAAAACATTATTAAATGCAAAATTTGGAATATTGTAAATCCATACATGGAGATCTTATAGACAACTTTACTGTTAGCAACAAATACACAAGGCACTGAGGATGATCTGTTCAGATTGAAACCGTTCTGCCAGAATGTAAATGTTGACGACACTTTCATAAAGTTTTAAATATTTGTTTGTTTTTATACCACAATACAAGTGTGAAGTGTTTTAACTTCTGTGTTTTTTTGGATATATTATCTGTTAAGCGACTACAGGAAGTAAGATTGACAAAATAAAAAGGAAAAAGATCTAAAGAGACTTGAGATAAAGCGGTTGGAAAGATATTATATTAATCAGAAGCGAAAAAAATGGCGAAAAACAGAAAGAAATTTTTTTTTGTAAATAGTAAGTACATAGAAATCTATTAGTACCAAAAGATAATTTGGTTTTCACATTCAAAATATTCTAAATAACAATGCAAACTCACTTTTTCTGAATTTGAAGGATATACAATTGTAAAAATAATTAAACAATCGTAAACACAACTTTTCATTATGACAGCACCGGTTTGAATGGATACTTTTCTTTATCCCTTCGATAAAAATAGTGTTGATAGTTGCCTATTAAATATTTATTTATAAAATTTGTATATAATTGCATGCAATTAGAGAAAATTAGGTAAAAACTTTGTTAATTAGAGTACATACTATCAATAGCTTCAATTTTTTTAAAGAATGATGACAATCGAGTATGTTACCAATAAGTAACTTTTAAGAAGTCATAGTATACTAAATTAAATTAATACTAAGCATTAACTTCTTCTCAAAGCTTACAATATTCTAATAACTAAGGCACTTTTTCCTCATTTTAAAATCCACCTCACTACCTCGTGAGGTTTGGTCTTGTTGAGTCGTCTGGTTTGGTATAAGTTAACAAGGAGACAGAATACCTGAATGAATTATTTGAAGATGATAGAAACAACTTAACTCAGATAATCAATGCAACTGGGCCAGACATATTGAAAGAAGAAGTAGAATACGCAATAATAAACGCTAAAAATGGAAAAGCAAATGGACCTGATGAAATTTCTACAGAACTGTTGAAGCTTTTGAATGATAAATCCGTAACCATAATATTACATATATTCAATACAATATACAGTACTGGTATAATACCTCAAGAATGGTTGCTGTCTAAATTTGTCACAAAACCAAAGAAAACTAGGGCAATGCAATGTTCAGATCATCGAACAATCTCCTTGATGATTCACCTGCTTAAAATATTTCTTAGAGCCATCCACAACCGAATCCATCAAAAGTTAGATATCGATATTAACGATACACAGATGGGATTCAGAAAAGGATTAGGTACAAGAGAAGCTCTCTTTGCCTCAAATGTCCTAACACATAGATGTCTAGATGTTAACCAAGAGGTTCATGTCTGCTTTATAGACTTTGAAAAGGCCTTTGACAAAGTACGCCACAATCAACTCAAAGAAATCCTGGAAGGTAAGAACATCGACACTAGAGACATACAAATAGTATTAAATCTCTACTGGAATCATCGAGCTAATATAAAAGTAGAGGACCAAACATCGGACGAAATAGAAATACGTAGAGGAGTACGACAGGGTTGCATATTGTCACCGCTTTTGTTTAATATCTACAGTGAACAAATATGCCAAGAAGCTCTCTCACATGCAAACGAAGGGATAATAGTCTATTAAATGTAATAACTACGGCATAAGGATGAACGTCAAAAAACCAAATATATGACCTTCAGTAAGAATCCAATAAATGACACTAGTATCGCAATAAACGATACCCAACTTGAAAAAGTAAGCCTCATTAATGAAACAGGTGACCAAAATCACGAGATAAAAAGACCAATAAAATTGCCAGGTCTACCTTTATAAAAATAAAATTCTTTTTTGTAATCGTGATATTAGTATTCATCTACGAACTAGAATGTTAAAATGCTATGTATTCAGAACTTTGCTTTACGGTGTTGAGGCATGGACTCTTAAACAGAGGAATATTAAAAATCTTGAAAGTTTTTAGATGTGTGTAGCGTTTACGCTACTGATTAACCCCCTCAAAAAATTTCTTATGACCCCCCTGCGGTCGATTTTTAAATCGACATTTCTCCACTCACGCGCTGGGAGCGCTTTGAAAGGATTGATCGATTTTGTGCGGTAGAAAAGAACGATCAGTTTTGGTCAGAACTCATACGCAGCCACGTCAATCAATTCAAAGTGACGGAATTGGAACAATAAAATAATCTGGGACGAATAAAATAATATTTAATTTAATAATCATATCTCAGTAATAAAAATAATAATAAGTACATTTTAAAAATCAAGATTTTCTCATTTATAAGAGTTCCACATAAAAAGGAAGATTTTTTTGGCGTGCTGCGGCTCCATGTAAGTAAATAATTTCATACGTATTGTCTCTTTATCATATAATCAAATTTATCATTGCAGTTTAGTATTTCTTTAGAGATTTATTTTTGAGTTCCTAAATGATTTAAATATAAAATTTCCTTGATTTACTTGCAAAGAACAGAAGGTCATTTTTTTATATAGTTAAACGTAAATTCTGTTTTAGTCCATGTCGTCATCATTAAGTTTTTTTTGGTTCCCTTTTTATCTAACTTTTTTTTGGTGGAATATAAAAGGTTCTACAAATGTGGTACAGCCTACTGTATTCTGCGCATGTTTATTTCATGGCGTAAGCCTGTCATGTCTACGAAGTAACTTCGGAAATTCTGACGACATAATGTAATGTTTTGTTTTGGTGCAGTCAATCTATGCTGCTACACGTATTAAATAAAATAGTAAGTAAATCTGATAATTCTTTTAGATTCCGTCACTTCACCTGAGGATATTCTCTTAAGAATATTCCCTCAAGGACTAGTAACAAAATTTCTTAAATGGTTAGCAACTCTCCTGGATTTTGCCGTCACTCCAGATAGACCTTCTTCTTCTTCAGATGCAAATCCACTAATGGATGTTAGCGATCACATTTTCCATTAACTCTCTATTTCTTGCAATATGTATCAGAGATTGTATGTCGTTAATCCCTGTCCATTGCCTTATGTTTCGGAGCCAGGACATTTTCTTGCGTCCCATTCCTCTCTTGCCTTCAATTTTACCCTCGATTATCAGTTGGAGGAACTGGTATTTTTCATTTCGCATGATGTGACCTAGATACGCCGTTTTCCTTTTCTTGATGGTTTCGAAAAGTTGGCGTTCTTGGTTTATTCTTTTAAGGACATCTATATTTGTGATTTGTCAATGATGTCAATGATGTCTATCTGTGACAGATAGACCAGTGACTGGTTTTATGCCCAGACTCACCTGGGATTTGTCCTTTACAGCAACAAACTGATTTAGCCGTGTCAAGAGGAGTTTTTCCTATGGGACTTATAGTGCTGTAAAGATAAGTTGTTTGACTGTGTAATTTTTTTTGTTACTGTCTATTTTGTTAACTTTTCATATGCATATGATCAAGTGACTACATTTTGATAAAATATAATTTTGATATTATTGGGAGAGGGAAAATACATTACATGTTTTTATTAGGTTTTTAAATAGGATTTCAAGAGTACTGACCAAACTCACTTTTGTTATAATATTTTTTTTAATACAATACATTTGATATAATACAATTTTGATATTGGGGAGGGAAATGAATTTCATGTGTTTTTTTTTAAATATGATATAATGAGTATGGAACAACTCACTTGTAATATATAATATAATTGTAATAAATTTATCAAGTTTGATATCTTTACAATATTGTCACTTGTATCTCATTTTAGTAGAACTAATTTAAATTTAAATGACTACCTTGTAGTGTTAAGACTTTGGCTATGATAAGGACTATTCTTGAATTTTTACTGATATTTTATACTTTATTTGTCCAGTGGTAGTGATTATTCGCTTGTTGAGGGGCTATTAAGTCCTAAAGCCAGTGGATTATCTCGTGGCGTGTACGTCATCGTGCGCCAACGGCCGATATTCGTCTGACGGTCGTGGTTACTAACGGATCTAAAAGCATTGCCACAAATTTTCTATCAACCGAAGCAAACGGATCGCTTCTACACGTTTAATAATTAGTCTAGTAAAAATAGTGTGTAGTTAGGTACTAAGTGTCTAGTAAAGTTAGTGTGTAAGTTAGGTATTAAATATAAAAACTTTTTTGAATTAACAGTTTATTGAAGAGTTTAACAATTTTCTATTTGCGGTAAATATATTTTTATTTACATTGTTATTTGTACAAAGTTATTTATAACGAATGAGTAATATCTAATAAAAGTTTTCTACTCAGTGTTATAATAACCGATTCACTGTTGTTGATTTGTTCTTTCAGGAGACGTATTTGTTGAACTAACATATTTTATGTGCTGTCTTTGGTAACTTAACGCAAAGTTTAATTTTTTTTATAATTACAGATTTATGTTAGGAGAACTTATTATCAGTATTTATTTTCAAGAATATCAGTGAATACAGCTAGTCGAAACATTAATCGTATTATACAAAATTAAAGTCAAGTTGCATTACTAGAACAAGCTATTTTAAAACGTTTTTTCTAAATCACTTAGTGTTAACTAGCATAGCAATTATTTGTTACGTTATTAATTTGAGCATGTTATCACTGCTAAAATATATGTGTTATAATGAAGAAAAAATGTTACCATGACACAAACATATGATGAGTCTATAGCTATAGACAAAATATACTGTGGTCAAATACAACAATAAAAACATTTATATAAACACACTTGCTTCATGCCACAAACAACCATTTGTTACAGAACTGCATAATACTTGTTGTTATAACAAATTGTATTTTCTTAAAACTATATTTAAATGTTATACAAAAGAATATTTTTTCCATAAAATATGCAAGTTACATCCCAATACGTTTTACATTAATTAATTACGATAATTGCAATCAAATTTTTTCTACAAAAATATTAATATTTTTCTCAAAAACATATAAATAAGGTTTAAATAAATTAATTCCGCTAACTTAAGTTTGTTCCCAATTCAATTAGAAATTCCACTGTACTACGTTTAAACCCATGTTTTTACAATTCACTTATACAGCTCCTGTCGGACTTTGCCCTGCGCGCAAATATGACGTAGACGCCACGACATAATCAATTTGCTATATTGTATATTTACACCATTCACTATCACTGTTATTTCATGATACAAATACAAACAGATAAGATACCGCGCATGTGGGCGTGGCTTATGCATGACTTTTGTGACGTCAACTTGTGCTAAATTTCGCCATATTGTGTTTTGACGTTTATGTACATTTACGGTTCATAGCCAATATTTAATAAAATAATATTTTAAAAGTGTTACCAGGCTTTAAATTTTTCCCGATATGAGGTGTGCAGTGTATGGTTGTGCCGTTGACAATATGTGGAAGAGTTTTGTACCCAGCACAGCATTTTATAGCTTTCCAAAAGACAAGGAAATGCAAGCTGTTTGAAAACATTTGTGTAAACGCCAGGATAATTTTAATGTTAAATTTGCTCGTGTTTGCTCTAAGC